AAAGTAGACATTTCATTTAAGGGAGGAAACACTACGAATATGGAAAAGCTCACAAAACACGCGATAACCTTAAATGAATGTCGTGTTTTTAATTCCGCTTCGGACCCAGCAGCAGCGGTAACGTTTGCACGTCCTCTCCCGTTAATGTGGCAGGTAAATAATCAACTAACAGTGCATATTATGTTAGCGTGATCTGCCTTATTACAAAACCTGCCATTACTGCGCATTTAGGTGATCATGATGAGAGAGACAGACAGACAGTCTGGCTCAGATGCTGGCAGTTCTCGCTGCAGTCTACCGTTAACATCTCCTTTCAGGCCAGGATAGACGAATGTCACAGAGCAGTGGCTAAGATTGTGGTAAAAGGCTTGCACCCATTTGCCACAGCAGATGGTAAGTGAATGTGTTTAATTGTAGGCAGGAACATTACTGGATATTCTTGTGTAATTGCTACAGAATAATTTATGTTATACTTTGTTATTGCTACAGAAGAATATTTATTTTATTATTTTACTTTTTTTTTTTTTTTTTTTTTTAAATGTCCTGGGGACCCTGTGACACCCCATTGAAGAGCCGTAGGCTGGATCTCTTAAGATGTCACTGTTGGGTTTGTAAGGCCATGTTACTCCTAAATTTTTTATCTTGTTCAAAGAGAAGATATAAAAAGTTCTAAGCTATTCGACCTTAGTGTTCTCCTTTTTTTTTTAAAAAAAGAATCGAATCGTTAAACAGAATCGAAAATGGAATCGAAATCGTGAAAATCTTATCAATACCCATCCCTAGTCATAGCACCACGTCTGAGCATCCCACGATGTGAACGCTAGACTCTGGAAACACAGCGTTGTTTTTGTAGCAGTTTCTCTCATTTCCAGATTTTGATTTTTGTGAACGAGATAAGTGATGCTACTGACCAGCCAATCGGTGGCATGCAGTCTGATGATGTCACATTTTAGTACCTGCTCGGATCGCTTAGACCCCTGGTCAAGTATTTACTAAAAAAAGTACCAGGCACTATGACATGCGTAAATGCATAGTAACTAAAACCAGCATATTAATGATCAAGGAACTGACCTAACACCCCATTATTCAATCAGTGGGCTGGTTTCAGTTATAATGCAATGCAATGCACTGTTTATAAGGTTGGGGAAACCTGCAGTCAGCTGAGACTGAAGAAGTCACTTGGATGAGTGATGAAATGTTTCTCCCACTGAAAACACTACATCCAGATGAACAGAATCAACTTTTTGGGATTTACTTACCTGGATGATTGAGCATGCATCAAGACTTGCATCAGAACATTAGGTATTTAGCTAAACCAACAAGTCCATCTGTACAACAATCAGCACTGTGACTTATGATAATAAAGTTCAAAAGAGAACTTATAAATAACACATGAAATCTTTCTCATTGTATTCTAGTTGCTATGGAACAGTTTCTTTGTGTTTACCGTTTTAGATGGACTATAACTTGGTTTCTGAATAATTAGTCTGTGGCATTTTGAGGAATCATTGCCTGGAGAATTGGATTGTATTTGTATTACATGTGAGATGTATTTGTGTAGCAGTCCCAGGTGTTGTAGTTAAGGTGTGGTGTTACTGAGACTCTTAGGTATTTTTCTGGGCTTCTAATGAATACACACGAGAAAAGCTGTGCAAAAGAAATGGAGATGGTATCAAGCCCCCTCAGAGTCTTTAACCATTGTTTTCAATGTCTCACAATGTAAAACTAAAGATTTTGGAGAGATTTTACTTCAGTAACAAGCTCTGTCTGCTTTATGCTATCACGTATAAGAGCTGTATTCAAATCCATATCTAAACATATTTTTGTTTTGTTTCCACAGACACGTTGCTTCCTTCCTGTCTGTTTTCAAACTGCTGGTGATTGGGCTGATTATCATCGGCAGGGACCCATTCGCTCTCTTTGGTATGCAAGCCCCCGGAATGTGGGAATGGGGCCAAGGAAATAAGGTAAGGTTTCCTGGAATCAAAACTGTGTCCTTATGGGAACGTTTTTACTGTAGTGTTTTTATGTGTAACAGCGTGTTAGACGGCAGACTCTGGCTTTTCAGTAGATGGAGCTGCACGTTGTTTTGGCAAGTTATTGCAGATAGCACAGGCGTGGGTAGCATGTAGAAATGAAGAAAGGTGGGCTCTAGTTTCCGTTTACTTACAGGCTGCCAAGTACAACTAAAACCCGCAGGATTTCATTAGCTCTTCATTTGGTGGCTTCTGGTTGTTTTGTTAAGTATTGTTTGGCTTGGATTTGTTATCCCCAGGGTTAGAGACCTGGCAAATCCCAAAAGCCTTCCTGCAATAATGGTCGTTCTTGCATTTTAACAGAAGGCTGAAAAAGATTAAAAACTATTTTTGTGCCATTGAAACCCAAGCGCATAACAGCAACTCTTGCCTTTAAATACACAATAAAGACTTATTCATTTTGGTTTGGGCTGGTTTTGCTAGTGAATTTGTTCTTTTAAAATTGCTTCTAAGCCACATATGTTTGATAACAAAGACTATCTTAAGTTTTTCTTCCACTGAGTATGTGTTTGGATTTTAAAGCTGCTTTTGGTATATGCATGGAATCCTTTCGCATGATATTTAACATGAATCTAGACTGCTATCACTAAATCAGCTGGCTTGAGAGCAGAAATCTGGTTTTAATGACTGTGCCAGGCCCTGTCATTTGTTGTTGTGTAATCCTACTGCACTGTAATCTCATCAGCCAATATGGGGAGAGCTGCTCAAGAGTGTGCGTCAAAAACAGGCATGCACAACTCTGTCAGTCCCTGTCATGCGAACTGCAGACGGGTAACAAATAAAACAAAACTTAGACCTGCAGTAAAGTCTTAACGGCATAACTGCAGGAGCCCATATGTTACTTGGATTTAAAATGTATTTATTTTGAGAAATAGCCATATACTTCACAATGTTAACATATTGGCAAGTGTTACTCCACTGAGAGTGACTACTGAATTGCACTAACGCAGCGGTCCCCAACCCTCGGACCGGTGCCGGTCCGTGAGTCGTTTGGTACCGGGCCGCGAGAGTTGAGGCTCAGGTGTGAAATGTATGGTTTTCAGGATTTTTATCGGTTTTCAGCGTCATTTTGTTATCGTTTTCATCATTAACTCGGTTTTCCTGGATGTTTTCACGTGTGTTATGAATAAATCTTTTTTTTCGGTACCGGTACTAGTTTTATTTTGTTGTAGTTATCCGCGACACCTTAAAGGCCGGTCCGTGAAAATATTGTCGGGCATAAACCGGTCCGTGGCGCAAAAAAAGGTTGGGGACCGCTACACTAACGGATGGCATGAACGTCATATTTTAAAGCAGCTACATGCTAACCTGTTACTACACTTTTATCCTGTGGGGTTTTTGTTCTAATTTCTGCTCACTGAACATTGCAGACTCTGTTTAAATAAAAGAAATCTTTCCTCTCCATCAGATTTATGCCTGCATGATGGTGTTCTTCCTCAGCAACATGATTGAAAACCAGTTAATGTCAACAGGAGCGTTTGAAATCACATTAAATGGTGAGTGTTATTCTAGCACGTACTTAGTGCCCAGTGGATTTGACTTTATTTCATTTTTCTTGCAATAACATTCATAAACTTGAGATGATGGAACAAAATCTAGCCCACAAATTAAAATGAAAATATTCTTTTATAGATGTACCAGTGTGGTCCAAATTGGAGTCAGGTCACCTGCCCTCCATGCAGCAGCTTGTGCAAATCCTGGATAATGAAATGAAGATGAACGTTCACATGAACGCAAGGCACCACCACCATTCATAACCTTACTGTTCAATTCCTAGCTGAAGCTAAAAGCCCATCCATGTAAGTACAGTCGTGTGACAAAGACTTTTTTTGTTTGTTTGTTTTGGAGTCACTTCTACTAAAGTGAAGGTTTATGCTTTTTAATTTGGCCTGCTCCTTTCTCTGCCCTTCTAGGTCTGAGGTGGGTTTCTCACTGGGCTGTGAGGTGATGTTTATGAACGTCTGCGCTGAAGGCAGGAACACTGCTAGCACAGACTGGATGTCCCCATCACTCTTCACTGCGCCCCTTAGAGATGACCCGCCCCTGACGCCAGAGTGGGATCCATGGCAACAGTGCTGGCCATTTTGTCATTTTCTTGTACTATTCATACTACTACAGAGTTCATCCAGGTGATATTAGTGAGCCCATAAGGAGAGAGTTAACATTGGTTCTTGTAGTCTTTAACTATTTGAATATAATTTGATCTCTGGGGGGAAAAAAAGAAACAATGTGTCATTTGTACCACTGAGCCAAATGTAGAAATTTGTTTATCAAGTAGTTTACCGTGTAGAAATTTGCAGCACTTAAAAGTCTGTCATCACTGTTGTGAAAATAACATTGGGAACCTGTTGGTATGATTTCTGAATTTTTATATTTACAAACCTTGGAGGAAACTAAGAAGATTAATAAAACATATTGTTAACTATTTAACTCTGAAACTGCGGTGTGGTGTTGAGTTGACATACTAACGCATCTGTTGTCATCAGGCTTATAATTTACTGTGGGTATACTATGCAATGGTATGAAATATCTGGAGTAACAACCTGATTATCTAATCTTTGGGAAGCTCTACACTGATTTTATATTACAAGGCAAAAGAGAGGAGAAATTAAAAAACCAAAAAAACAACTACAAGACCAGCCTAAAAGAAATAAAGTGGTTAATGTGCAACAGATGACTTTATTTAGACAAGGAGTAATGAAAGTCATTTATTGGGTTAATTGTATAATACCTTTACTTGATATTCTCTTTGTGAAACCGGGCTCCATTTAAATTGAATTTAAAATAAAGGTAAGTCTGGCCTTAAAAATGAGAAAATACTGATTCAGCCAAGCATGCTATAAGGATTATCTCTATATATCGACATGCTGGCACTCAGGTGCTAGTACATAAAATGTTTTTTTTTTTTTTTTTTTTTTTGTTTTTTTTTTCCTTTCGTTTTCTGGTAACTAAAGTCAAAAATGAGACATGCAAAATGTTTTTCCAGCTTTGCTTTTTTTTTTTTTTTTTTTTTTTCAGTCACTGTCTTCATGTTCCAATATTACATATACATCAACAATCCTGAAGGCACTTGAGGATGAAGGCTTTGTCACTGTCATTCATCATTACATCATCACTGACTTTCAGGAGCCTTTGAGCAGTAACCTGTAAGTGATGGGCTGGTGTAGTCTTAAGTTTTTGGGGATGTAAGGGCGTCGTCAGGTACTGGTGAAGATGCTGAATTGCTGCGTGGATCCTGATTTTGGCTGCCAATGCCAGCAGCTCGTCTTTAGAGAGCGATGAACCTGAAGTATGCACGTATTCACCCTAATCAAAGATTTTTCACGTTAATGAAGCACTTTAGCATTTGTTACAGTCATTTTGCAAATCATTTAAACCCTCTGTGTAGTTAAATGTTAAAATATTTGCTTTCATAAAGAAAGACATCAGAAAACTGGTAGTAATGCATACCCATATCCAAACTTTTAGACTTATTCCAGTGTCATACTCAAAATGAACATATTTTCCAATTTTTGTTTTTCCATTTTAGCCCTTATGTTTTGTCATATGTTTAATTCTATAAAATAGCCAGTTCACAATGTGCAGACTAGTTGCACAGTGCTTCAGTCTTACCTGAGCGCAGCAGGTACCCACACTGAACTTAGCCTGTTGCCTGCCTGCCAAGAAGGAAACAAACACTTGTTTGTTCCCCAGGACTCGAACTCCAACAGTTTTGTTGAGGGACAGAAAGATGGGCTGCAGGGGTGTGGGAGTACCCCAGCTCCACTTACAAGTTACATTGCCTGCATTGTTTAAGCATCGGCCACCAGACATGTTCAAGGACAGCCTGCAATGCGAGTACAGAAAAAATACATGCATATAAATGGACTGTAGCTCATTGCCATTATGTATTTATGCTCACCTGTGCAAATTTTAAATATCACATTTACACCCCATAGACAAAAACATTTTTTGACAGCAACCTCTATGACAACAACTATAGGGCTAATAATATAATTTAAAGAGGCAATATTTAATAAATGGTAAATATTTAAAAAAAAAAATGCTATCTACCATATGTTTCCATTGGTGTGATAGCATGTCGCTCTGCCATCAGACTGGAATATAGCTCTGATTTGTTGATTAGGGGCACTGACGTCGTCATACACTATACAAACTCTTCCATTGTGTTCAGTGACGACGATAAGTACAGCCAAGAGGCCAGAGGGATAACTGTAACCACGCTGGTAAGGACAGGAACACTGACTATAGAGGATATTCAATTCAACTGGAATTCACTGGATTTCTTTAATGTTTAAATTGTGCATTTTTAAATCACTTCCGCAAAGTCTCATGATCAATCTGATCAAATCTGAGAGGATACAAGACCTGAGCAGAGCCACCAGGGAACATGGTAAGGAATGTGATGCCACTGGAATAAAATTTCTGTAAAACTCCAGACCCCACCTGTGAATACAGATAAAGTTCAAAAGAAGAAATTATCATGTCTAGAAATTCTATTTTGCACACAATAACATGGACTTTTGAAAAATTATTTTTAAAAAACAATTATTATTCTTATAACCTAATAGTGTGGAGTTTGAAAGAAGTGGGAGGGTTGCTTTATTGCAAATTTACCTCTACATTCAAGTTCTCTTTCAATGTCTAAACTCGTCAGCCTCTGCAGGGTCATTTTGATTGTCTTTTGGCCTTTTTACCCAGCTTTACTAGTTTACGATACTAAAACTAAGTAGTTTCTCTTTATAAATAATAATACTATTTAGCGTAATAATAAAGTCTTGCATTTGTGAAGGTTTTGGGTTCAATGTATTATGTAGACACAGTGTGACCACATGGGGGCATTGTATTAGTGTGTAATGCAGCTGTCTGAGGCCTCTATTCAAACATAAATGAAACCTCTGTGTTGGAAAAACGCCATATATTTACAATATAATAAGACAAAACAAGCTCTGTGGGTCATGAAAAATAGAAGTAATATTAATTTACATGTTACCTGATGATTACATATGCCAAACTGAACTGGTTTCCAATCATAAAAAGGGAGCAACACCTCCTCCTCTTCCATTTTTAAGCATTTTTCACTTGTGCTACTGCAATACGTTGTCCCCTTTCCTGGAGCATGTGAGAGTCTTAACCTGAAGACCCCTGGTGCAGAGAAAGCTAAACAATAGCAAAATAGACTGCATTAGTTTCACAGAGCTTTATAAAATCAAGATGCAGTTACCTGTCTGTCTGTCTGTTTATTATGACTGTATGCAAAAGTTTCAGGCTTCCAGTGTGAATGTTGCTAACTACTCACAGGTCTTCCCTGCAAGCAGATTAACTGGGTAACCACCGTAGATTGTAGATTCTCTTGATTGTATTCTATGAAAAAATACAAAATAAGTGCTACTCATATTAATTTTGCACATTATTTGAGTCATATTTCTGTTCCTACTTTCATTCTGTTTACAGGCATTTTCATGCAAAATCATACAAAAGTGTACCTAGGTTTTCTCAGAAAGCCTTTCATAAACTTGTGGTAAGCTTCACTCTCTCTGGATTTGTGATACAGAATTTCCATCTGGTCTTTTGAAGTTAGATTACCAAAGGTTAGGTTAGATCGCTCCTCAAACAAAAGTCTCTGCTTCACCAGGATTTGACATAGCTGCTGCCGCTGAGCACAACAGAAGTGGGTCTGTGATGGACACAGAGGAGGGGGTAAGGAGGTCATGTAGTACAATAGGTGAATTTAGGGATTTTGACTTGACCATTTACAATCTGCCTCACCTCAGGATTATGTACCCATGTTAGAACAAGTAGAGGATGAGCCTTTTCCCCACAGTACTCACATTGTGCTGGGTATTCTGTCTGGGACTGAATAACATTTTTTTTTTATCAGAGTAACATTATCTGTAACACCTTGCTTCCTTCCTTAAAAAGTAAGAAGATATTTGACTTTTAATTTATTATTACCCTTTGGGGAAAAGTTGTTAAATTCATCCTGTGATTGTCAGACTCACGATTGTACCTCAGAACTCCCGCAGCTCTGATACAATAGGTGGGTGGGTCACTGACAGGTTTTGGGCAACTGCATCGCATCCTCTTACCAGACAAAGAGAAAAAATGACAAATAAAAGGAAACATTCAATGATTTTAGAAAGAGTGAGATATTAATCCATATAATAATATCAAGATTATTATATGACCATGTGAAACCAATCAAGGTCTTATATGGTCGTCTGGAACATGGAGTAGATCACGAGCTAATGTAGCAGTGCCATTTAATGAAACACAGAAGTCTGAATAAGAGAACTGTTAACAGTGTTGGTATGTATTTATAAATATACACTCACTGGCCACTTCATTAGGTATTCCTGTTCAACCGCTTACATCTAACCAGCCAATGTGGATGTGGTCAAGATAACCTGCTGAAGTTCAAACTGAACAATAGAATGGTTATAAAGGGTGATTTAGTCCAGTAGAGGGCCTTTGGGATGTGGTGCAATCAGGGATTCAGCTGACAAATCTGCAGCAACTGTGTGATGCTATCATATCAACATGGACCAAATTATCCGAGGAATGATTCCAGCACCTTGTTGTCTCTGTGCCAAGAAGAGTCAAGGCAGTTTTGAAGCCAAAAGAAGATCCACCAATCTAATAAAGTGACCAGTCAATGTACATGTAGGAGATATTTTAGTACTTTGAACAGACTTGCAGGAAAAGCTGGACTTCATCTTTTTGTCTTGACTGTGTTTAGTGTCTTTATCCCAAGATAAAACAATCCATCCTCAGCTCAATGAGCTAGTCTCATGTGCTACCAGGAATCAAAACTTATTCCTAGCACATACACACCCAAGTATAATACGTCTAATATATTTTTTACATATATAAAAGCAGTCATCATTTAAGGAGGGAAAAAAGACAGATAAAGCTGACAGTTGGTGAAAACAAACACCTCTATACATAGTCTATGAAGATATGAAGATAAGATGAAGACAACACGACAATAAAACACCACGTACTTGCCGCAGTGGTAGTCAAGTATTGAGCGATTCTTCAGACTAGCCGGTGTTGTTAGTAACCATGGAGATGAAATAGCTGTATGGCAATGTGTAAACATAACAGCAGACCTCATCTGTGTTGCTGTCTGACTGGTTATGCTAACATTCATAAGCGTTCTGACATAAATTTCTAATAAACAGTAAAATCTATGGTAAGACCCCGGATTTTAAAAAAGCCAAAACCTTTCCACAATTATTGTAATGTGTAAATATGGTAATCTAGTGTTTGCAAAGGATTTGGAGGCAGGGAATAATCCCACCTCAGTGGTTCATTTAACAGCCTTTCTGCAGCTTCACCAGCAGGTGGAGCTTTGGTGGTTGCCATGGCATCGTAGATGTTCAAATTCTCGATATTTTCTAAGCGCGTAAGAGGTTGATCCCCAGTTTTCATTGGTCAGCTTGGAAACTGCAGCTGAAACTCGCTTCCGTGACCGAAATTGTTTTTGCGCCTTCCATTTATGAGTAGCAGAGGTTTCTGAACACATGCAATACTATTTTTAGATGGGACAGCGGTTGTGCATTTATTTTTTTTAGTTTACCTCATTAATTATTACTGTGTGTCTTAATTAAACTCTCTCTCTCTCTCCCTCTCTCTCTCACTCACTCACTCACTCACTCACTCACACACACACACACACACACACACACACACACACAAAGCCCGTTAAGAATAAAATGTTAACTAGACATTACTCAGGTGCATATAGTGCAGGTAATTAGAGAATCCGTTGATGTCCCCGCAGCGGCTTCTGATTCGCTGTGGCAGCACCTGGCTTGTTTGCTGCCGCACAAATAGCCATGGCGAAGTCTCGCCTTCCAGCTCTTAACATTTCTAGGAGACACGCACAGCTAAACGATGCGTAGAGAAAAAGGGAGACGTGCCTCCGTTTGTTGTGCTGTAGCCGTTATTCTGATGTGCCATTTAGTGCAAGCAATAGACTGTTACCGACTAACGAAAACAGAGAGGCGAGGAGGGCGCAAAGAGGCCGATGCGTTAGGTGCACGAAAGGGGAAAGTCGTATTCGGAAAATCTGTCGGGAAAGGCTCAGGCCTTGAGTCAGAGGTTAAATATGGGAAAGCCTCTACAAACTCATCCGTGGAGGAATCCTATCAAGCAGATTTTATAGGTAAGCTTCAGGTCCACAGTTTATGTAAGGACACTGGCTGCAGGAAAAGCGTGCTTATTTGGAGATGTACTTGCATGTTTATTTAAAAGCTCTATGCCTCTGTGCATAATTGCAAAACTTGCTCTTCTTGATTTTTTTTTCCCCCCACGTCAGGCTGGTCAAAAGGCCAAACGTATGACACCAGTTCCAGAGAAGCAGCATGGAGGCGCATGGTACCTTTGCTGCTGTGCGGTGGGGATCGGATGAAGTTCAGGGTAGCGGGAAGAGGAGTGTCAGAGCTAGCAGTGGACCAAGGTAAGCAAGCAGGGCTCTTTCTTTTTTTTGTAAAGTGTCCATTTGGTTGCATCGTCATGTAAACTTTTTTTTCCCATAGCAAATGCACCGCCAGTACCTCTGAGCCAGGTCCCTCCCAACTGTGGCTACAACATGCAGAGGAACTTACGGTCACTTGTTATGCAGGTTCCCTATGATGGCTGCAGTGTGGTTCAAGAGGTAATTTTAACTGAAATTAAGTCTTATGCTATATTTGAATAATTGGCAGCCTGCTGTTAAAATTGGCTAGTTTTAGGATTATTTTTTTAATTATCAAAAGTAAATTAAAATTATGCAAAATCTTCCTTAGATGGCCGAGGCTTTAATTTGCTAGTCATGGGTTTGGAACGGTCTCTTGGCTAAACATAAACACTTAATATTGTGATCTCTAACAATTATGGCTCTTTTAAAAGGGGGTAAATAACTTTAACTCCTTGACTGGTAACACGCAAGTCCTGATATTCCTTCTTGTTTTAAAGGGTGGCAGTTATGTGCTTCCAATGCGGTGGCAGGGTATTCCAATCTCCCTTTGGTGTTCCAAACCTGCAGCACCAGCTCTTATGACGACTGCCTCTCAAACCCCTCAGGACCCCGCATCAAACTCCCAGATGCCCTACACTAGCAAAAATCCAGACCAATTGTATGCCCATGTTCCTCAACCCTTTTTCTTTCCACAACAAATGCACTATCCATATCCTTCAGTTCCCGTATCGGATCCTGCAGAACCCATTAAGCAGTCAGAAATGCCCCCATTCCAGCAATACCCTCCACCCTTTCCCCCCCTCTATCCTTACTTTTATCCCCCACTTCCAGCCACAAGAGCAGCCCCAACCACCACTGCAAAGCCAGAATCCTTCATTCCTCCAGAGTTTCTCTTACCTGGTTACAAACCAGTTGGTCCACCTTTTCTTTTGCCCTTTCCACTACCTGTGCCAGCAGATACTGAAACCACAACTAACGCTGACGCTTATCCCCACTCACTGCAGCGTCCACCCAATGTGCATTTCCTCTCCCAGTATCCTCTCTTCCCTCAGTTTGTCCCTCTTCCACAATATCCGAACAACCCTAATGCAGATTTGGCGGCTGCTACTGGAAGCTCGGACACCGTACTCCCTCAATATGTTGTGCCTTTCCCTCAATTTGTTCCTCAATATCCAAGCAATCCTAATCCAGACTTGGAAAGCGGAAGCACAGACACTCTGCTGCCTCAAGCTCAGTCGCACAATTTTCCACACTTCCATCAACAAGTTCAGTTAATGCCCTTTCGTCATAGTTTGACGAAAATATAATAAAGGCTTTAAATAACACCAGTTCTTGGTTTGAAATTCTTTGTTCAACAGCTCAACTCAATCAGCACCACAGATTCAAACTCAAGAATCATAAATGTTATGAGCATTTAGTGCAAAGGTGATTGGAATTAATAAGCAGACTTGATGATATTTGGATGTTGGGGGCTCAAATTTAAATGATTAATGTCCCTGTTGTCTGCAACCACCCACCAAACAAAGGGGGGTCGGGTGGATATGTAATGTTGGAAAGTCACTATTTTATTGCACTATGCTGGGCTTATGTAGCCTGAACTGTTAAGCTTGCTTTTTACTAATAAAAAGCAATGTTCTGTTATGCTGTTCCAACTTAGTCAAAGCAGCAAATGGACTATCTTTACAGGACTTAATCATGTACAGTTGTACACCAGGTCCTTTACCTGGCATGCTGGGTCCTTCAAGAGATCCGTTTTACTCAAATGGCACCGGGGGAAAAAAACAAGTCAGAAAAAAACAGCTTGTTGCTTGTCTCTCTCTCGCTCTCTTAAAAAATACATGTGACATATAATGTAATTGCAAGGAGGTATTTCTGCAGTCTATTGATTACTAGATAGTGGAAAGGGGGTGGGATTAAATAAGCTTATGCTTCTTCCTGCTCCTTTTTGAACATGAAAGTTATTTGTAGTTGTGGTTGCTCGTTTTCCTTTTGTTTTGTCTCTGTTTAATTCTATGTTGTTGTACTTTTTCAACATGTTCAAAATAAAGATTCAATCAATAAAAAAATATTGACTCATTTTTGACAATTTCTATTTTGCCCCACCCTCCCAGTTTTCTCTTTACACTCTTCATTTTGTTCCTTTTAATAAAAATGAAAAAACAAACTAACACAATTTGTAAATACAGATAATCAGAAATAACCAGGGTGACTGTTGCTTAGGAGGCAAAGGTGGTCATCCGACAATTCAGAAGTTGGTAGTTCAGTCCCTGGCTGCTCCAGTCTGCATGCCAAATATTCCATTATAAGTACCTTGCATCCATTGGAGTGCAATGTTGCAAAGCTTAGAATAAAAACTGCTCGAATGGGTGGGTGTGAATGAGGCATATTGTATAAAGTGCTCAAGTAGCGTTGAAATACACTAAACCAGTCCATTTACCATAACCACCACCTTAGGCCACACATTGGATTTATTCTTTTTTTCTTGGAGTTGTTTGAGCCCATCCTTTCTTTCAGTTAGCTGTTTGTAATAGTTTGCCAAGCTCTGCAAACAAGCGTTTTAACGGCACATTAAAGAGGTTTGGGCATTCCTTGCTGCCCAGACCTCTACATTGGAGAGACCAAACAGCCACTTCACAAGCGCATGGCACAACACAGAAGAGCCACCTCCACAGGACAAGACTCAGCAGTCCATCTGCATCTTAAGGACAAAGGACACTCTTTCGAGGATGCCAATGTTCACATTGTTCACAGGACAGATGGTTTGAAAGAGGAGTGAAAGAAACCATCTATGTCCACTGTCAGCGACCATCTTTGAACAGAGGCGGTGGTTTACGACACCAACTGTCTATAATCCATAATCCAGTTTTGAGTTCCCTCCCCAGACGCCTTAACGCCCACTCACATCCTGGGCCATCTGACCTCAGGAATTCGCATGATAAGGTGGGGCCAGGTTTCACAATGAGCTCACCTGAAACTCTGGCTGATTGGGACCCACACCCAGTTTCACACCTTGGCTCAGGCGATTAGAGGATCATCAGGGGTCCTTTTGTCCCTCTGTGGGGGATACTCCCACTAGGTTTAAATCTGGGACTCCCCACCATTTGACCTTAGAACTGAAGAAGCTTCTCGGATGAGTGGTGAAACGTCTTCAAGTAACTTAAAGAAGTCCAGACGCTTTTCTTTGCAAGCTCCTTTGACTATGATGATCTGGATGACTGAGAACCTTCACAGACATATTTTAACGGCACACTTTGCACATACAGGTTTATTCAGATATTAATGTTAGTAATGCAAATTACAAAGTGATTTCATTTTTCTTTTAACTTGTTAACCTGCAATTGATTAAAAACAACACATATTATGAGATGTCAATTTTTGTATGAATTTTTTAAATCACATTTGTGGTTTGGTTATTTGCTACAAAGTGTTTTTTTCTGCTTTATTGCAGCATTTTATTGGGTAGGCATTTATAAAGTGGCACCATGATGAAATTACTAGTTTGTACTTCTGGTTTCATACTTCTGCATGCATTCTGACAAATGCATATATGGTGTAAAGATGTAACTAAATGGTGAAGCAAATACTACACAACTGCTGCATTTCAATTTTTTTTTCAGTTCTTTTTCTTTTACAGGATCTTATAAAACTCTTCTCTGCTCAGTCATTCAGTGTTCAAGCTACGGTTAGATGGTGTTTACTACTGTAATTCTTGAAACTGAGAACTTTTATTTGATTATTAATCGAGTCAAAGAAGAGTTTCTTAAGCTCATTGGAATAACCTACCTAGACTTATTTGAATTTTTCTTTATTCAATTCACTTATGTTCCAAAGGAGAATAATTTTACTTTAACCAAAATTAGTTTAACAAGAGACAGAGCCTACACTTGTCTACAGTATATCTAAATAGGATAATCTTGTCTGCAAACTCATGAGTTATGAAGACTATAGAATTCCACGCATTTCATGCTCCATAAAAAATGTTCTACTTATCCCAGGACAACACTAGAGTCAGCTGCCAAAGGCTCTTAATGAGGCCACAGGTGCAAACTGTAACTGTGTTGATTAGCTGGTGACAAATTGCAGACAGCATCAGAAGCTGTGATTTAGTTGTTCTGCATCGCTGTGAAGTGCTTTCCATCTGCACTGTGTCACCACTATGGGAGGTGATAGAAGTGGGAGATGTAGAGCATGTCAAACTGTGGCAGTCACATTACTCCTGTGCTCTTTAGCCCTTTGTTTAAACTTGCAAGTGCTGGGCAAAAAAGTTAAACATGAGGGATCTAGTGAGACTGCAGTGAAAGATGGAAGAAAGGGAAGCATTCTCTTTAATGGAAAAAGGCTTAAATCCCAGTCAGGACCTGCTTCTTCTGCAGCTGCCACAGGACATGCGTTGCTGCAAGTTGACTTGCATCAGTCAAGCATCACAGGTAACACTTGGCTGTTTCTGCTAATTTGATATGCTCGGTACACTTGAGGCAAAGGTTGTTGCAGTTAACTTTGTGTTGGGATATCTTTCTTCCTAAAGCAGAGAGTAGATCAAAGCTGAAGAATGACACTGCTAATGAAGCAGCATGGAGGCAATTAAACTCTTCACTACACTGTAGTGATAACAAGATGAAGCTGAAGGCCATGGGGCCTGGTGCTGCTGATCTACAACTGCACATAGGTAGAAAAAATATTATAAGTATGCAAAACGGTTTTTAAAAACTGTCATTGAATACTGGCATGTTTTCTCCTTCTCTCAGAAAATGCACAACCCTTACCACTGAAGCATGTGCCTGAAAGCTGTGGTTTCTCAATGCAGCAGAACGCACTGGGACTAGTTTTAAATGTCCCATATAATGCCTGCAGTGTGCTAACAGAGGTATGCTGCTTTTTTTTTTTCTTCTTTTTTTTTTTTTTTTTTTTTTTTTTTTTTTTTTAAAAGGACCTGGACTTGATGGAATGTGGTTTTCATATCTGCACTAATTGATGAATTCTATATTTTCTTTTGGTAGTTTTGAAAAAGATCTCTTCAAACTTAGAGTTGGTATAACTGCTTGATGCTAAATTTGCCAAAAAACAAACCCAGGCCAAAACATGTTTGGTTTCTTTGTTTCAGAATGGAAGATATGTGTTGCCAATGAATTGGCGGGGGATGGCAGTTGAATTCATCTGCCCAGTTCAACAGTCCAGGAAATTTCCTTTCTCTCTCAGGCCATGGCACTTCCATCGCTCAAGACGACAAGCAAAACAGCCCTATTATCCTAATCTATATAATTCCTACTGGTATAACTATTACATGCATATGATGGCACCAGGTGCTAAAACTAACCCAACTACCACTCGCCCTCACACAAAGCCACCTGGATATTCATACCCTCTGTACTACCCATATAACTTTTATTACCCCTACTACTACTCCTCCTTTCTCCCAGTGAAGACCACTGTGCCACCAGCTACAACCACTGTGGCACCACCTACGGCTGTTAGACCTAGTGGCAACAAAATTCCTTCCAAGAGCCCTGCCTATTACCCTGCACATTTTCCTAATATGCACTACCTTCCACCAGTCCAACAGTTGCAAATGATCCCTGACAAAACTCAGGTTTACTACTACAACCCGGAGACTGAATATTTCTTTGGAAAGCCTTCATACCAACAAAAACCAAATTTGCCAAAGCAACCTACTTGGTCTCAATTTACCCCAGTTGCTATGCCAAGTTACCCAGCTTCCCCTGTGAAACTGAGTTACCCAAGCCCTGTCAGCCCAGAAACCTCTGCAGCCCCTATAGCACCATATGTTCCATTTGACAAGCTCCCCTTTGAGCCATATGTTGTATACAAGGCTAAGAAACTCCCCGATGACCAGAAGTACATGGCCAAAGCAGGTTTTAAATCTAGATTCCAAACACATTCAGGCTTCCCTTTGCAAATTGCTTCCAGGTTTCCTCAGTACAGAGGTCAAGGAGGTCCCTGACTGAATTAAGCAGAGCTGTAAGTGCTAAGGGTTTCTTGTTGGTGTGAATTTGGTAATGGTTGAATTGTTCTAAGAAAATCTTGTGTTCTCGCGGAGCATGATGATGATGATGAAAATTAAAGATTTTTCTACTGTGAACTTGTTCTCATGTGTTTGGTGTGTGTTTTTTTTTTTTTTTTTTTTTTTTTTTTTTTTATTATTTTTTTTTTCTTCCCCCCACTACAAAAGACTACACTCTTCATTCATGTGAAAAGGACTGGTCATTTAATGATGGTGAAATGCACAGTCCTAAGCATGTTGGTTGTCATGGTACACCCCTTTCTAAAACGCCAAACTGAATTATTGTTCAAACGTTTGACCTATTCATAGCAAGCCCCGTCAATACTTGTTAGAGCTTATACTAAGACAATGAATCAAAGTCTCTAGAGGGCTACCTTTAGTTCTTGTTTATGGAACACATTTTTTTTTTTCTTCTTGTCTTTGCAAAAAAGTTGGTGCATAAATCCCATTCACCCACTGCACATACAGACCCTATTCTGTCTGCTCCTATATATTTTTACAGTGCTCTTCCCCCTTGGGCACTCCGTGACTGTGTGTACGCACTTCGCTGAAATTCAACCACACGTGACAACTGAACGACGTGTAATGCTGGACTCTGAATCCAGACATGCTCATTGTCGTTCAGCCACTTCATTTTCTAAACACTACTTGGAGGGTCCAGAGCTCCAGAACAAGAAATCAAGTAGATCATTCATGCAACACTGCGTGTGTCTTGCTGCAGCTGGTTAAATTATTCAATCATTTAAAGAAGTGGTTTCATCTCTTTAGCCAAGGTGAGCGTTTTGTGGTACACAGGATTTTGCTTTATCTTTTTACTAGTGACAAAGAATTTGGATGTTTGTATCAGGCTATAGATTTATTTTGTGGCTTTGTTTAAATGAACTTAATGAAAGGATTAAAATCAGACTGAAATTCTACATTTTTTAAATCTCATTTTGTTATATAATCTATTTTTTTCTATCCATGCTACCACAGGAAACATTAAGATACCGTGCATTAAATAGACTGGAACAGCCGTCGTTTAAACAACTAATTTTGGTCAAAGATCTGTATTCCTCTCCTGTTTATGTCTGGCTAGATTCCCGACCAGATCTCTCAGCTCCTCCTCCATCTCTAAATTTTGCTCCGCCTACTCTACTTTGTATCTTTATGGAGGACTATGATGTGGACATGGATGAGGAAGAGGAGGGAGACGTATTCACTAGAAAGGCCACAACGTGCCACTGGTGGGAAGATGCACAGCATCAGGGAGGAAGACTAGGATGCATGGTAAACAGTCACAGCTGGGCAGAGGAGCTTAAGGATATCTTTGCACCACAGGCAGATCACTGTTACAGTGTAGCAAGAACCAGGCTGTCCAGCATCTCTGTGAGTGATTCACTGTGTCTGTTGTTTGATCCACACATGGAAATAAATGAGGACACTTATTCTGATGGCTACGTCTCTTGTAGCTGTTGAAGAGACTTCTCCAAATAAAAAGGAATGGGCTATAGGGAAAAAATTAAATTTGGGTAAAAGACAAGTGCAACAACAGGCTGTGTTTATTGCCATATTTGCAATATGCAGTTCTGTAACTGTTTTTATATGCATGCAGCATTCATATATATATATATATGCAGCATATTTTCCATAAGCAAAAATTCCTGGCATGGAGAGACTGAGAATATTTGGCTTGATGTTGATGAAAGAAGGAAGATGACTCAGTCTTTAGTCATTTAATCAGTGAACAACTGCACTGTGGGAACTAACTGCAAGCCTGTGTGTGTGTGTGTGTGCAACACTGGTTGTTTATGCACATGTGGACAAATGCGTCATGTGCTTCCTTATGCCTCTTACGGCTCATTACACTTGTACCTTTGATGTGGGATGAGGCTGTAGGAAATTCCTCCAGAAGACAAAACAAATATAATAAATCTACTACGCTGTGTAAGGCCAATAATCAGATGTTGATCTATTAGAGAACCAGCTATGGCCTCTAAGTATTTTGTTGCATTCTCATCCATTAGGCCTTCTAGCCTAGTCCACCTGCCATTTTTTTTATAGATCCAAAATGTCTGCCTCAATTTATCAGAAACACAGATTTATTATTTGTCCCTCTCCTTCCAGTAAAGGAAAGGTGAAGAGGAGAAGGCAAGAGAGAAAATAGAGGAAGATGGAGGTACAGATAACAGATCAGGAAAGCAGTGGCAGCACTGAGCAGCTTCTTCTTTCCCCTCCCTTGATTTCTCTCTCCTCCTCTGCTTCCGTCGCTGCCCACTCCTTCCTCTCTTGCTCCCACGTCTCCCCACCCTCCCCTATCTGCTGCCTCTCCCCTCCCCGCTCTGTCATCCCTTCCTCCCACCCTCGCTCTCCTGCACGGAGCTGCGGTATAAGAGAGGGTCTCCTGGGTCTAGTTTCACTGCAGTGTAGAGGAGGGCAGGACGGCTGTTTTAGTACGATGCGCTGAAGGATGGTGCACCAAGAGAAACGCATTTACCAGGTGTGTGGATTTGTATTTGCTTGCATTTAGTGTGTGATTCTGATGGGTCTGTAGCATTTAACAAGCTATTTAAAGGTATACATGATAGGTATCCATCATGGGTGTGATGCTGTAGATAAATCAGCCGTATGGGATGAGTGGAAAAGGGAGTGGGCGTGTTCGTATGTGGTTGTGCTCGAATATATCTGTGTAATATGTATGCTCCTGCATTTGTTCAGTCAGATTTGACACAATTTTCCATCTCAGATCATTGATATCTATATCATTGTATGTTATACTATCTTTTGTTTGAATAGGAACTAAAATCTTTCTACATTTGCATTCATCATACCATGTACATTCTTTATAAGGGGTACAATTTTGGGCTTGTGGGGGTGCATGTGCTCGTGTAGTCATTTTGTTAGTAAGGAGGGCATCTGTATGTCTGAAGTGGGTGAGCAGGGGCCAGCGTTGGTTTGGAGAATGATGGCGATGAACTCATTTATGCTTTTACGTCACATCCTCATCTAAGGATGCGTCACAAAAAAAGAGGGTGTAGTGGTGTGTGTATGTGTATGTATCAGTTTTGCAGCTATTTTGAGTACAAATGCTGAAACATAAGAGAAACGTGCCTAATTTTAGAAGTGTTATTCAATATATGTGTGGTTCCAAAGAGCACACACAAACTCAGGCAGCTTTAGCAGATGTTTTTGGCTCAAATCCATCATATATAAATACTTTCCCTTTGATGCCAGAATAGAAAATCATGTTGTGAGGATCCAAGGGGAAAAAATGAAATCGGTTCAAAGGGGGAGCTACAGACTGAAAGCTGAGATGAAGTGAAATAAAAGGAAACGAGATAGAAGGCTCGGGTGTGGAAGCTCAAAAGGTTAAAGGGGAAAAGAATGAGAAATACAGATGAGGGAAAAGGGGCAGAACATAAAGATCCAATGTCATTAAAGTGAAACAAAAAGTATGAAAAATGGGACGTCGGTCAAAAGAAACTAGTCACATAGGAAGAGGAAGCTGTAAAACACCAGCCCACAGTGACACGGCATTTTGAATCAGCAGCACTAAAAGAATGCAATGGAATTTTTTTAACCAGTTTAAATAGTACCTGCTGTTTTGATGATGAAATGTGATGCATAAATTAGTGAAAGAAGCCATTTATGGATGATTCACCGTCACTACAATCCTATGATTGTAATGAACAAAGATCTTTAATAAAAATGCATTCAGATGCACTGACATAACTGGATAGATACACCTATTTCTTGTTTCATTCTTCAGTCTTTTCTGGGCCTGGCCTGTGGGGGAAAAAAAATTATGTGCACTGTCTCTCAGAATTGAAACAGTACGTTTCTCTGAAGTGTTAATGAGGACTGCATCTGCCAGATTCATTCGTTTAATCATTTTCTATACATCTATTTCAATACTACTGTTTACACGCATCAGATGAGAAATCCTGGACAGGCTGTCAGCTGGTAGTAGTAGCAGATAATGAATGTTTTAATACTCATATTCATACATGGAATCAAAAGTAGACGGTAGATGTGAATTCATCACATTTTCCCTCTTAATCGGGTGTAACCGGATTTATAGTTGATTAGAAGAAATGAGAGTGTCCTCTCATTTTGGTATTACCTGAATTTATGCATTTGTTTATGAATTTCATCAGTCTTCCTTGTCAATAAGCGACCCACTTGGCAAATCAAGCAGAGAGAGACGGCAGCACAGGAGCCTCGTCTGTGTTAATATTCTTTGTGCTTCCACGTTTCTCTGTTTGTGGCAGGCCCAGAGGAATGAGAGAGAGTCCATCAGGCAGAAACTTGCCCTTGGCAGTTTCTATGACGATGAGCCAGTCATCTACACCAGCTGCAGCAAGAACGGCCCTTCGTCTCGGTGCGTTTGACTGAGTGTATGTGTGAGCAAGCAGAAGAGAATGGTTCATTTTGAATAGTAACAGTAATAATGTGATAGATTGTTGGCTTTATATGTCATTCTGACTGCATTTGAACATCTTCCGAGCGCAGTGATGTACAATAAAATAAAAATAAAAAATAAAAAAATCACTGAAATTTGGTGAACTGAATTTCATCAAACTCATTTGGTTTCCTGAAGCTCTCAGTTCTCACAAAGCCTTTTCATATTAAAGTCTAGCTCTCATGAAAATATTTTTTTTATGTATGTATTTATTTATTTTGTCTCTCTGAGATGCCAACTGTATCATGGAAGCACCTTAAGTTAACCCTTTATTTACAATAGGCCTTGTGGAGGGCCCATTTTACAAGCTCTTTCAAATGACCTTGACTCGGTTACCATTTCTGCTAGAGACAAAATTCAAATGGTTTCAGAAAGAAGAGAAGAAGAGCTTTTGGGGGATATTTAGTGTATCATTGTAGCAAAAAGCATTCACAAAATACTGCAGTGTAAAGAAGGACATAAAATTCAGCTCCGCCTAGGTTTTATTACCTGCATTTTACATTACTGTAAGTCCTCAGCCATTTTTGGGAGAGGAAATTCAAATGATTCACAGTAATGAGAGTTATCTGGTGATTTTACAGAGAAAATGTACAAAATAACTCCACTTAACCTGTATTATACTTGGGTGCTAAAGGGTTAAGACCTTTACAGCCAGGAGAGGGGATTAATCATCAGATTACGTCATTTGTTGACTAACAACTGTTAGCTGAAAACTACAACAAACAAATTAGGGAGGTGGAATAGTTTTCCTTGGTAGAAATTTATCTAGAAGCAGTGACGTTCTGGAGTTGTGTGTACGTTTAATTATCATGGCTGGTTTCATACGGACTATGCAACAACAGAGGATGAGAGTGAGTCATTTAAGTCACAGACATGCAAAGTGAAAGTGAAAGCTTTCCCGGAGTGCCACAGTTATGTTTACAGTCAGTCTAAAGGGACTGACATTGGGCTATCTAGAGAGTATGGAAAGAATGGGAACGTAGAGCATGGCACTGTGGTTAACCTCTGTTGCATGATGAGCTGCCCACACAGAAACTAAGCGATGCCCCAGCTTCATGGTGGGACACAGTTCAGACATGATGTTCTCAAATCAGACAGCTCTCTTCGAACTCTGTGCCACCAACCTGCCCGTTAAATCATTAAATAATAAAAATAAAAGGACAGTGTAATATTTTTTTAAATATCCGAAATATCCAAATATTTTATTTTTTAAACATTAGTATTCAATGTTTTTTTTTTAAATTTGTCAGACTTGTTGTTTATTTTTGCAATGCAAATAAAATAAGTTGATCAGTAATTTTTTTACTTACTTAGAGAATATTTTATATCTTCTTATAAAATATCATTGTAAATAGTACTATATTTGATAGAAATCAAATAACATACTAGTTTCCATGGAAATGACATTTCACGTCTGCAGTTTTGGATAGAAAAACATGTAATGCAACTGGAACGACTTGCATTATGACAGACTCCCCGTGGTTAACCAAAGCCGCAGCACTTACATCAGTACTCTTTCTCTCCGTGACACCAGTTGACCTCCAGTAGCTTTTTGGCTCCCAACTTTTTTTTTTTTCCTTTTTCCCACAATACCCTTTAGTTTATGTCACACAGTGGGGCTGTCCTTCGTTACTGTAGATGTTTGAGAAAGTAGTTTCGTCAGCTTGCGAAAGAAGAAGTAATGCCTGACACAGTTATCCACAGCTACAATTGGTGGAATTGAGCATGTGACCCCCTCCCCCGTTGGAGGTAAAGGTGTAACGGGGTGTAGTTTAGGGTGGAAATTCCAAAAAGAGTTAGTGAGGTGTTGTTTAAGTAATTGTTTTTGTCTTAGTGTAGGGGAAGGTTACTTTGGGTTGTTAGGTTCTTTCAGTATCATGATCTGGAATTGAATAAATGGTGTTTTGAACCCTTGGAAAGGCTGAGGTTAAGGTTTTTTTTCCTTCACTTCTGTATAAGAGATGTTACCGACCATTTTTAAAGACCTTGTTTATGAAATGGGAAAAAGAGTCTTTGCTCACATTGTTGTAAAGTCGGATGAATTGTTTCATAATGAATACTATCCTAACCTGCTGTGTGACCTAAAGTAACAAATCTGAATAAATAAAAGGCTTTATGCTTTACTATGCTGTTTCCATATCTGTGATTAAATCTTTGGATCTAGCTAAACAATTTTTGGGATGTGCCAAAAATTCCAATATGGAGGAACCACTGGAAATATGAATATATGCAGAAATTCAAAGTCAATGGGCAAACATTTTACCTTGATTGCGATTAATTAATTAGGTTTTTTATTGTAAATATGCCGCTAAACTAAATGTTTAATATTAATTAAAGCTTGAGCAGTTAGCTAATGTAATATTGTTGTGCTCCAAGTGTTGAAATATACTGGCGGTATTTCTGTTGGTCGCTTCAACCATTTTTCTCTCAGTTTTCTTCTTTTTGTTTGAGGTTGACTCTCCTGTAGCCAAAAATGTCTCCAAATAAGGGACACATTAATTTTATTTGGCCCTATGTTTAACTTTTCCTACATGATGCTTCCATGTGGCAGACTGGACAGGGCAGAGTGTGCTTTAAACGAATTCTGTATTGACAGAAAAATAAAAATAATTTTTAAAAATAACCGACATTCGTAAGATTAAATCAGTTAGAGGTTCTAAATGTTGGTTTTGGTTCATTTTAGGTGAACTGACCAGCCCTAACCAATGTGTACCCAGACTGCATCACTGACATGTGAATCCAACAAATGTCAACAAAAATGAATTAATATCATGTGAATTATTGTTAGCCAATTTCGCATTCAGGTGTTAGCCAGCAAAAACAGTTGATTAGATTAATTATAAGTTAATATGAGAATGAATGTGTGGACCACGCCATTGTAATGAAGCAACATCTTGGGAAGCTTTAACAGCTGGAAAAATCAGGAAATTTTTGTTTTGCTACACTGAGTTACAGACTTCAAAATTCAGATACATTGACAGGCAGGACACCAAAGCGTAACACACAGCAAGATTAAATAGGCCTGTAGACTTAGCTAAGCATCAAATGAAATAACTCAAACATAACCTTTATTGTCTGATTTTCACTTTTTCAAATGCATTTATAAGTTTTGCCCTAAACAAATGAAAACAAAGAAAATAGACAAGAAACTAAACAAATGCAAATTACTTTTTGTGTTGTGGTGTAAAAATCCAGTTGGTCTTCCTCAGAATCACAACTCATAAGCAAACTGTGAAACTTTCTTCTGACGCTGTCTTTTTTTTTTTTTTAAGTGACTGTTTTCACTAAGCGGAAGAGAATGGATGAACTGTTTTCACTCTTTGCCTTACCACTTTTCATGCTTATATGCATTTTAAATGGTGTTTGCTTCTTGTGTGCAAACAGCATTGGCCTGTGCTCTCTAATGTGTGATTCTGACTAAAACGGGTGCGATCTGAGCGCCTCTGAATATTGCATTTGTGTTCTCAGGCTGCAGAGTGGGGTGAACCTGCAGGTGTGTTTTGTTAATGACAGCAGCAGCGACAAGGACAGCGATGCTGAAGACAGCAGGACAGAGACCAGCCTAGACACACCGCTGTCACCTGTGGTATGTGTCCGAGTCTCTCTGTGTCACCATATGTGGGTTTTATGTGTGTTTCTGTTCCACTACACTCGTGAGGTGACCGCAGTTGTTGTTGCATCACAGTATCGCTCACTTCCTATACAGAGTAAGCAGAGCTCATCTCTGTCGGACCGGGATACTGGAGAGGAGGATTCAGATCCTTTAGATGACTGCGGTGGGTTTTGGCGAGTGCAGCGAAGGCTGCAAGAGGAGGCCCGGGTGGCGTTGGCTCTGGCTCGACCCATGGCCCGCATGCAGGTGGAGGTAGAGAGGCAAATTCAGCTTCACAGACGTTCACCTGTGGCTGACTTGGTGAGTCAGAGGGGTTTTATGCACAGAGGTCTTAATTCCCTCTTCCATGGAAAATTCAATGTAGGAAATTATTAAGGGCACTAAAATATCAAGGAAAATAAAGTGAAAATGGAATGTAAGTTGGTGTTTCAGTAAATATGACATAATAAAACTACATAGGCACATGAAAAGGTCAACACTCAAGTTTTTATGTGTACGTGAGACGTGGGTGCATGTTACCATGAGAAAGCCCCTGAAACTGGTGAACAGACGTGTTGCAAGTTGCAGTTAGAGGCTGCGTCATGTAAAAATCCAGAGATCCAGTTGATTAATAATCAACAACACTTTTTAAGTCTTTATTTACACTCAAATGTTTGACACATTTTGACGTGCAGTAATTTCCCGTCTGTGTGTGCTTATGCGAGCAGCTTCCCCATTTGCCCCACATCAGTGAGGGTTTAATGAAGAGGAATCTGAGGCAAGGGGACATGAGAGACATGAGTCTTGGACAGCTGCAAGTCATCACGAATGATTTGCATTCACAGATTCAGAGTGAGTAGATGACTCACGCATAAAGACACAAATTAGTTATTAAAAACCAAGCCAAAAGCCTGATCTGTACTTTATCAGATTTTAATATTTTTATTCATGCCATCTATGCTATTATTTCTATCAAATAAAGTATCAAAAGACATTCAGTCCACTTAAGAATTTATACGATATCTTTCGGGATTGTTTTTCTCTTCCTCACTTCCTATTTTTTAACACATTTCTGTCTAACATCATCACAACAAAAGCACACACTTGGCACGATAAAATACAATCATACAAGGGAAACAAACATTCAAAGACTGGATTTGTATCTTCAAACAGGTCTAAATGAGGAGCTGGTACAGCTGCTGCTGATGAGGGATGAGCTGCATGTGGAGCAGGACGCTATGCTAGTGGACATAGAGGACCTCACCAGGTGAACCACAGTTTTTCTCCACCTCAGCTTCTTAGCTGTCAAAGGTATTGGAAGCGCTGTCACTTCACAGTATGTCCTGGACTCACTTTAACATATTTCTTCTTGTTTATTATGGCAGGCATGCACATAGCCATCAGCGGCACCAGCCAGAGAAAGGCATCTCTAAATAAACACCTTGTCTACACATGTGTCTGTATGCACGCCGTCCGATTTCCCACTCTACGGACTGCTACCAGTGTTGCTAATGAAACTTCATCTGTGCTCACTGTATCTGGAGAGTTGAATGCAGCATATAGAGTAGTATTAAGACACATGTGATACGTTGCGCCACATCTTAGAACCTCAAAACACAACATCTACATGTGTAAGATCACCAATTTCAGTATTGACAGATGAGTTTGTGCAGGCGTTCCACTTCCACTCAGCATGATTGTCCCCGTCATATTTCATAAAATTAGGGGAGTCGAGTTGATTCCGTCCCTGATCTTTATTTAGCACTCAATGATTTTGGCACGGCTGGGTTGGAGAGAGCACCACCATACCTTGTGTCTCTTTTTTTTTTTATGAAAAAGGATGATGAGTTGAGATCTTGAGGTCTTTTGTTTGGCTCTAATAATCAACAGGGTTCTTAGAAATGCTCTGTTCACTTGTATATCGTTCACTTCACTAAAAGCACTGTGACATTGCCGTTTATCACTCTCATTCACTATCAAGCATCACATACCTGATCTGGTATAATAGGAAACGATAAGTACTCTGTATTTGTTACATTTAAGAAACTGCTTTCCAGAAAGTTCCTAAAAAAATCTTTAAGACTCAAACCTTAATATAATTAAATAGCTGCTACAGTTTCCACCTCCTTTAAAGACATTTAGAGCTTTACTGGACAGTATTTTGACCTTTATTTGGGCAAATCTGTATTTGTCAAATGTGATGATCTGCTCAGTAGAAGACACAAAAAGTTCTTTTTTTTTTTCAAAGTTTACACAAAGCTGTAAAAAGGAACAGGCATCTCCACACAGATAGTCTCTTAATAGAAATATGCAATTCCATTTTCTTAATTTAATAACGATCAGAGATGGTAAACACAAATGTAAAACATATATTAATAAATCGCAGCCTAAGCGTATATCTATTTTATCTGTTTCAAATGTTTATGTATGTAAATGTTAAAATATACTTTATTAAAAGGATTAACAACATGCCTTGTTGTGTTTTAGTGTTTTAATTCTAAGCTTTTTAAGAATGTCATTTAACACAAAGTCACTTTTTTATTTTCCTTGATTCATGAACACATGTATTCTATAATGATTGTAAAAAAAAAAAAGACCAGAAAAAAATGATTCCGTAATAAATGTTTCAAGTGTGTCGACTTTCATGAGATTTATTTTGCTTTTTTTCTGAATTTACAAGAAGAAAAAAAATCCACACGTTCCAAGGAAAGCATCACGCCTTGACACTGCAACTGAATGACTGCAGGCTACACAAGGAAGGAAGCGAGGGCACCGTCTAGTTTCTATTCACATTCACACTTTCACGTGTGATGTGTTGACACTTAAGTTTTGTAAGGACTTACCGCCAGCAACGGGGAAAAAAGCCGTGGTGACAAAAATAACCTTGGTTAGTGTTACATAGTTACAACCAGTGGGAAAATAATCTATGGCAAAAACTAATGATCACTTAACTGTTTATTATAAGCCTTCATTATACTTTTTTTCTCAAAATTTGGGACATTGCTGTTAAAAAAGCCCAAAAATGGGACAGTAAAATTAAATCAATGCAATATTACAAAACAAAGTATCTCAGGAAGTACACACCACACACACACACACCACACAACACACACCACACACACACACACACACACACATATATATATGTATTATATATTTTATATATATATATATATATATATTATTATATTTTTTATATTTTATATATTTATTTTTATATATATATATACATACATACATACATACATATAATATATATATATATAATATATAAAAAAAAAAAAAAAAAAAAAAAAAAAAAAAAAAAAAAAAAAAAAAAAATATATATATATATACAATATATATATATATATATAACATATATATATTATATATATATATATATATATATATATATATATTATATATATTATATATATATATATATATATATATATATATATATTACGTGAAGTACCCTCAATTACGTGAAGTACCCTCAGAAGGTCTGCTCGATGATGTTAATGCAGCACTACGGGCAATACCTACAACCACGATTACCGACACTAACAAGCTGATCTACAATACGGCAGCAGTGATCAGTGAGATGCTTGGCTACAAGTTGAACAGCGACAAGGGGCAGTACCCTCCATGGAGAAGGAGGCTAGAGGGCAAGATCAAAGTAGCACGGAGGGAGGTTAGCCAACTAACGGAGTTGCAGAAAGGTGCGACAAATAAGGTGCATAAGAAATACAGCAAACTGTCCATACCTGAGGCCTTGGAAACTGCCAAGCAAAGACTCACAGCCTTGGCCAGCTGCTTGAGGAGGTACACCAGAGAGATAGAAGGCAGGAGAATAAACCAGCTGTTCTCCACAGAACCAGCAAAGGTGTACTCTCAGTGGCAAGGGAACAATAAGAGAACAGCACCACCAAGGCTGGAGACGGAGCAATACTGGAAGAGCATATGGGAGAAGGATGCAACCCATAACGGCAATGCTCAGTGGCTAGAGGATCTGAGGGCAGACCACAGCGACCTCCCTGAACAGGGTCCAGTAACCATCACAGTGGCAGATATCCAAGAAAGGGTCTCCAGTATGAAGAGTTGGACAGCACCAGGGCCCGACATGGTTCACGCCTACTGGCTGAAGAAGCTGACTGCACTCCATGAGTGTCTGGCAGCACAAATGAACCAGCTGCTAGTTAACGAGAGACACCCGGAATGGCTAACCGAAGGTCGGACGGTCCTGATCCCCAAGGACCCCAAGAAGGGACCGGTCCCCTCCAACTACCAACCAATAACGTGCCTCAGTACTACATGGAAGCTCCTGTCAGGCATCATATCGGCTAAGATGAACAGGCACATGGGTCAATACATGAGCGGGACACAGAAAGGAATTGGCAAGAATACCAGAGGCGCAAAACACCAGCTACTGGTAGACAGAACAGTCAGCCGAGACTGCAAGACCAGACTGACCAACCTGTGCACTGCCTGGATTGATTACAAGAAGGCCTATGACTCAATGCCCCACAGCTGGATACTGGAATGCCTAGAATTGTACAAGATCAATGGGACCCTAAGAGCCTTCATCAGGAACTCAATGGGGATGTGGCATACAACACTAGAGGCCAACTCCAAGCCCATAGCACAAGTCACCATCAAGTGCGGGATCTACCAAGGAGATGCTCTGTCCTCACTGCTGTTCTGCATAGGCCTGAACCCCCTCAGTGAGATCATTAACAAGACTGGCTACGGATACTGGCTACGGATACCGACTACGGAACGGAGCAGTTGTCAGCCACCTCCTGTACATGGATGACATCAAGCTGTATGCCAAGAGTGAACAAGACATCGATTCACTAATCCACACTACCAGGCTATACAGCAATGACATTGGAATGTCGTTCGGACTGGAGAAGTGTAGTCGGATGGTAACAAAGAGAGGGAAGGTAGTCAGAACTGAGGGGATTGAACTACCAGAAGGCAACATTGCAGACATAGAGGACAGTTACAAGTACCTGGGGATCCCGCAGGCGAATGGGAACCATGAAGAGGCCGCTAGAAAAGCTGCAACCACCAAGTACCTGCAGAGGGTCAGGCAAGTCCTGAGGAGTCAGCTGAATGGTAAGAACAAGATCCGGGCCATCAACACCTATGCCCTGCCCGTGATCAGGTACCCTGCTGGGGTAATAGGCTGGCCAAAGGAGGAGATAGAAGCCACTGACATAAAGACAAGAAAGCTCCTTACCATGCATGGAGGGTTTCACCCCAAGTCCAGCACCCTGAGGCTGTACGCTAAGCGGAAGGAAGGGGGCCGGGGACTGGTGAGTGTCAGCACCACAGTCCAGGATGAGACAACGAACATCCAAGAATACATTGGGAAGATGGCCCCAACTGACCGAGTGCTCAGTGAATACCTCAGGCAGCAGAAACCCAAGAAAGAGGAGGGAGACGAGGAACCATCATGGAAGGACAGGCCCCTGCACGGTATGTACCACCGGCAGATAGAGGAGGTGGCTGATATCCAGAAATCCTACCAGTGGCTGGACAAAGCTGGACTGAAAGACAGCACAGAGGCACTAATCATGGTAACACAAGAACAAGCTCTGAGCACAAGATCCATAGAGGCTGGGGTCTATCACACCAGGCAAGACCCCAGGTGCAGGCTGTGTAAAGATGCCCCAGAGACAATCCAGCACATAACAGCAGGGTGCAAGATGCTAGCAGGCAAGGCATACATGGAACGCCATAACCAAGTGGCCGGCATAGTGTACAGGAACATCTGTGCCGAGTATAACCTGGAAGTCCCGAGGTCAAAATGGGAGATGCCCCCAAGGGTGGTGGAGAATGACCGAGCTAAGATCCTGTGGGACTTCCAGATACAGACGGACAAAATGGTGGTGGCTAACCAACCGGACATAGTGGTGGTAGACAAACAGAAGAAGACGGCCGTAGTGATCGATGTAGCGGTTCCAAATGACAGCAATATCAGGAAGAAGGAACACGAGAAGCTGGAGAAATACCAAGGGCTCAGAGAAGAGCTCGAGAGGATGTGGAGGGTGAAGGTAACGTTGGTCCCCGTGGTAATCGGAGCACTAGGTGTGGTGACTCCCAAGCTAGGCGAGTGGCTCCAGCAGATCCCGGGAATAACATCGGAAATCTCTGTCCAGAAGAGCGCAGTCCTGGGAACAGCTAAGATACTGCGCAGGACCCTCAAGCTCCCAGGCCTCTGGTAGAGGACCCGAGCTTGAAGGATAAACCGCCCGCAGGGGCGTGCTGGGTGTTTTTTATATATATACATATATATATATATATATATATATATATATATATATATATATATATATATATATATATATATATATATATATATATATATATAATATATATATATACACATACATATATATATATATACACATACATATATATATATACACATACATATATATATATACACATACATATATATATATACACATATATATATGTATATATATATATATATATATATATATATATATATATATATATATATATATATATATATCCTGCTGGCTTGAAATACCAGCATGATTATTAATAAAGACTGAATAAAATGTGACCATTTAGAGTGGTTTTGGTTTTGTTTTTTTTCAGTTTTTTGTCACATAAAAAAATGTTTCAGCCTTTTTCTTTTATTATTTTTCATCCTTAAAAGGCTATATAAGTTTAGTTGTGATTAATGATATCTTAGATGCGATCAATATTTTGAGAAATATTAGACGTAACTGTGCACAATCAAAGTTTAAAAGAGCATATGTGATGAACTTTCAATATGTTTTCTTTGGTAACCGAACAATGAACAGACATTAGTTTCAGCAAACCACGGTTATATGGTGAGAAAGGAAACTACACAATTTTGAGCCCACACTTTCAACTTACAGTGGATCTGCTCCATTGACTGATGCAGGGATTTCCCTGCATCAGTCTGAATATAAAACACTGCTCAGCCAGACACAGTCAAAGAACACAGCTTACCACTCTGAACCAAGATGCCCCTCATCAAGCTCTGTGAGTATAACGTATCATGATTGAAGAGTCTAATCTTCCAAGAGATATTTTACAGTTATCTAATTTTTCTCTTTTTTTTCTAGACTTCACTCCTGCACTGCTGCTCCTAGTGCTCACTTGTCCTTTATGGCAGATCAGCCAATCTGTGCCACTGATGGGAATGCAAGACTCCTGTGTATTATACGCAAGAACACTGCTCCAGAACATCACGGATGTACTCAACCAGGTAGGCCTACAACGAATGCAAATCCACAGGGTTTTTTTCTTACAGTTTACATTTTATTAAATATTACTTGTCCTCAAACAGAAAACCCTGTTTAGTGGAATTGACTGCACGAAGCAGAACATGGAGCTGTACAAAAAAACCAGCACACCATCAGCGTGTGCACCACAGGTACCCACTTTAAATACCAGATTGCTTCCATTTTGTTTCAGGATACATTGTGAAATGGAAACAAGACATAACAAACATTTGATAAGTCTTTTTTAGCTGTGCCTCTGATTACTTAACTGTGTTTCCCCCACAGGGATCAGCATGCTCAGAAATCACTACATCAGGATTTGATCAGGTAGGTTTTTGTGCCACTTCATCATTTTTTTCTTTACTTTATATTCTTGATAAACATGTTAAGGTCTAGACATGGAAGCCAAATAATTCCAAGCAAATCTAAAATGATGTTTGACATTTATTGTGGTTGTGCTTGCTGTGTTTAGAGCTCATGTTTGAAAAACATTCGGGAGGATCTGAGGTACTATGACGAATTTCTCGCAGCGCAGCCTGTTGGTACTCTTCTGTTCAGTCTCAGGGAACTCATGAAGGTATGTGATTGTACACAATTATTATCATTTTTACTGTGATTTTACATAATTCTCAATAAATAAATGCAGACTCTTTCATAAAATTACTCTCTGAATGTTGTTTTATCGTACTGTGATTTGCCAGGGTACTAAAATAAATTTTAAAATCTTAACAAAGGAGAAATCACAAACTACCAACATTTACATTATTTATATCTTATAAGAATTTTTTTGCTCTCAACAGAACTGCTTCGGAATATTTCCGGCATCAGATTCGACCTTAAGGGAGGTAAGAGATCTATTTATTTTTAAATCAAGCTTGATTTCACACTTCTTCGGGTCTTTCTCATTAATATTTTGAAAAAGAAATTTTAGGCTTGTTAGGGAAACAAAATTTAATTACATAAATGTTTCAAATCATTTATAATGTTTCTGTGTTTCTTTAAGGCTGCTGCAAACATCGGAACCTCCTTCGACCAAAGACTTCACCTCTGCAAAGTGCTGAAGGGCTTCCAGGTCCGTGCCATCACAATAAACCGAGTGATTGCGTACATGACCTCTGATGAATACACTAAATGAATCGTCACTGAGCTCCAGAACAATACTCAAGAGGCTCCAGAAAGAAATTACAGAAACTACGGTGACAGTCAGTTAATGTTGCTGTGACAGAAAACACTTCAATATACTTTAAAGTTTCATAAATTACTTAACTCATATCTTAAAATTGACGACTTATATTTAACTGTGTTTACTGACTTGAAAATGATATTTATTTATTTATTTTATTCTGGACTATTTATTTTCAAATGTTGAACATGTTGTTATTTATTTGATTCTAAGAATCATTGAATAAATATTTTTTCCTGCATACTACCTGCTGGTTTACACTTTTTTTGTTCACTGATTAATTTATTTATTTTTTTCACTTTAAATATGTTACAACAAGATAACTGCTTTAACTCTTTATAAGAATCTAAAGACATGGTTAGTTTACGGTCAAGCTTGAAAACAATAAAAAGCATTTGTGGACTATAAGAAAAAAATATTCCTTAATACATTTTAAACAACAAAAAAATGTAGATTGCACATTGATGGATTTTGTTTTGTTTCTTTGTTTTTGCCACAGAGCAATCACAATGCTCTATGTTTCCTATAAACATGTAGCAAACTAAACCCACCATGAAGAACATTTACAAAGAGACCACAGTATAGTGTTTGTTCACGCTTCATTTGGAAATCCCCAAGTTAAGATAATGACAGTCAGGTGACTATTATTGTCATGATAAAATAGTGATAATAAAATGCCAATAAAACGTGGTCTGATATCAAGAAGGAAAGTCAATCAGTATCTGTCCAAGGGGTTAAATTAAACTTAAAAACTGGATTATGACACTTCATTATGGTGCCATTACAGTCAATGTAATAAGAAATGCATCAAATAGTTAATCTGTTAAGACCAAGATTTACAGAAAGAATCATTATTGTAATTGTTATTTAGTATTATTGAATAACCATGAACTAAAACATGTTCTGATTTTAACACTATATCCACAAGCAGGTAATTAAATAATAATAAATAAATCCAATCTTCCATATCTGTGAGACGCACATGTGTGTGAACTTCAGTGATTAGCCATTAATTTAAAGGTGAAATTAGAGTCAGGTGCTTTCAGTCAGCAGGGTGCGAGTCAGCTATGAGTCAGCAGCCTGTGTTTACTAAAAAAACATTCAGAAAAAAAATCTAATCTTCCCAACATGTGTTTGTGGAAGTGTTTTACGATAAAAACAAACAAGATTTCAGAGTTGTTGATAAGTATGGACACAACCAATCCACAATCGGACAGATTTCCTACTGCAAATGGAGGAAAGCACCTATTCCGGGGTTGGGAGGTCACAGTGGGTAACCTTTAAGCAGCTAAAACCCCCTCACACATTCATCTTCATGAACACAGTGTTACCTGTGGAGAAAGAAGAACACTGCATTTCAGAAGAGGAAACGTCACTCATCTGTGAAGCTATATAGTAGTGACATCATGCTTTGGGCTCGTTTTTGTAGCTGTACTTTGATGAATAAATTTTAAATTATAGCAATAAAAAAGAAGGTGCGGGTCATGCAGCAAGACTGCAACCAAGTCTTCAGCTTGATCCAACTGAAATGTGGAATGAGCTGAAGTCAGCAGTTAACATGAAGAAATCAACAAGTGTCCTGAAAATGCATTGTATGGATTGAAATTGGTTAGAAGTACTCCAAGACAGTGTGCAGGACTGATCAAGAGCTGACTGACCAGGAAGTGTAAGGCTGCACTTACTGCTACACAAGGCTGTACACCAGACACTTCACATGTTGCCACTTAAATATATGTAATGTTCAATCTGTTTTTGTCTCTTTTATTTAATTTTGTTCCCTTTTTTTACTTTTAGGACTTTATTTTTGATGTTTTGTGTCATATTTATACAGAAAAGTCCACACAAAATTATTAACAATGAAATACCGAGATAAGCTTGTTTTATTTCTCATTATAATTGCAGGTTTTAGTCATATCCAGGCTGTGACGACATTCAGGATACAGCACTTCCATGTAACACGATATATACTGGGTGTTTCCTAAATGATGTCATAGATTATGCAGGGTTCTGGGTGTGTGCAGTAGCGCATTGATTTCTCACAATATCAACTACTGTATTCGTTATTTACAAAGGAAAAAAAATCCGAACATGCCACACTTTCAGTTTCGATATTGAATTTAGTGTAGGTTGCTTAGACATGCTTGTGCAACAGACAAACAGGATACTCTAAAAAACCATCGTCATCGTACTTGTGAGCGTGTAAAACGCTGTTGATGTTTTCTTGACTCGAACACAAACTTAATTGATTTAATCAGGTCAATGCCCTAAAGTGCCACCTGAAAGTTACACAGGTTAATTGTGGGAACGATGGTTTGAAAGCAGAGGTAAGGCGAACTGTTTATTCATAAAACCGAACTGAAAATGAAATATAACTTTGTTTCCGTCCGCATCCCTTCCCTGTTCGTTTGAATTGTCACAGCTGACATTTGTGGCTTATGAGGCTGAGAAAAGAGGTGCGACATTTTTGCCACAGAAACATGTGAGGTAGACAAAAAAAAAAACATTTAAAAAGGGGAAAAAAGGATCACAATCAGGCACAGAAGATAGAATGAGATGGAGGTCCAAATACATGTGATAACATGATAGGAAAGAAAGCACCACACAAGCAGAAAATACCTTGTTAATTCATTTAATACTATGTAAATGTATGTAGTTTCATCAGTATAGACTTAAAAGTGTTTATGATGGGGCAACCTGAATGTAGACTAAGGGGGAAAACCCAGGTTAAAGAAGCCCCACCTGCTTCCCCTTCTAGTTTATAAATGTAATTTTTTTTTTGTTTAGTTGGCAGGTTCAGTTGGAATTAAATCAGACTATTTTTTTATTTACTTTAGGTAGTTATTAAGTAATGTCATTTCACGAACATCCCAGTAGAGCTGACGTAATAAATTGGTACTAAAATCGTGAGGCTCAAGACAAACTTCAGTGCAAAAACAGTCACTTCTAAACAGAGGAATGAAGTCATCATTACATCATCCAATCCCTGTCGACAAACTGACTTTAAGCTGTTTTAGTGCCACCTGGTGGAAAATATATACAATAGCATTTATATTTTCTAAACGACCACACAATCGAAATGAATAAAATTATGCCGAAAACAAGGTTTTCACTTGTTGCACTTTAGTTAAACTTGTTGTTTAGCAAAAAATCACTTTTGTGTCGTCACGTTTCAAGTAACGGGCACGCATGCTCAGTGAAACGGTTATAATCAGTCAAACCAGGTGTGTTGGAGAGCAATCACTTACAGCGGTGGTGCTTTTTCTTTCAGAGGCTGTGTTGTCGGGGGACTTATCACTCCTTCCAAAAATCTGACTAAAGCATGGACTGTTACCTGCACGGCCTCATTTCTTGGTGCTTTATCATTTTGTATTCCGTTTGCGCATTGGCACAAAGCAGCCGGTTAGTTCACAGCAGCGAGTCAAGCGTGGCAAACTCCTTGAGCCAGGGTGGGACATATGGCCGCATCCAGCCTCAGTTTGGTGCGGTAAAACAGAAACCGAGCACGGAGCACCGGGAGCGCCCTCGTCCGGTCACGGTAAATTGCCAACCGGATGCCATGGAGGTCGTGGTGCAGGCTGACATGTTTGACACAGGCCTACAGGTGGACGGCGGACATCTGAGACTCGGCTCAGTTTCCGCGGGTGAGGAGAGAGTATGCGGAGCAGTCCCATCGGGAGAGGCGGAGTTCACCATCCGGGCCCAGCTGGTGGATTGTGGAACAAAGCTCTCAGTAAGCACTGCTAGTTCTCTGGAGCGTGGCTCAGTCACTGCTGTGTTCTGGTCAAAAGTTTCTCCTTTTACAAAACAAAATGAAGTGTGAGTTGCAGACTAAAATGTTAACATTTTCTTTCAGTCCACAAAAGAGAAGCTTATCTATGCCAATGTGCTCGTCTACTCACCTGAGCCCTCATCTGATGGTTTGCTTAGGCTGGGTGGAGCTGCTATTCCAGTTGAATGTCATTACAAAAAGTATGCCTATGCACATGAACAGAAGTTTGCAGTGTGCTGTGGCAATCTGTGTGTCTGTGTGAAATCTGTCTGTTTCCAGGAAGTATTCTGTAGGTGGCATTTCCCTGCATCCCACCTGGGTTCCACTTGTTGCAACAGCTTCAGCAGAAGACCAGATAGACTTTCATCTGCTTCTCATGACCGGTATTACAAGGATGACAGCCATGAAACATTGTTCTGCTGTTGCTAAGAGTCATACTTAACGTCATCACACAAAGATTCATCTTTAAAATGCCATCACAGGTTTTAGGAATATTCATTAGAGGCTTACAAGTACTTTTATTTTTTTAATTGTTGCCATCTTGCAGATGATTGGACGTTTCAGAGGGGGTCTTATACATATTTCCTTGGTGACTCGGTTCATTTTGAAGTCTCTGCTGTTATTGGTAACCACATGCCCCTGCGAGTGTACATTGACCATTGTGTTGGCACAGCAACTCCTGATGCAGACGTAGCATTAAGATATGATTTTGTTGAGCATGGGTGAGTTCTACTACTAAATCTTTAATTCTCAATAAAGAGGCCTATATTTCCATATAGTAAAACTCATATCATGTCATAGGCTTTCATTTTTAAATTGTCTTTATTTTTTTTACATAACAGATGTCTTACTGATGCTTACCTGACAAACTCCAGCTCGCGTTTTCTGCCAAGAACTGAGGAACACAAGCTCAGATTCCAGCTAGAAGCCTTCATTTTTTACCAATCACCCAGCAACCAGGTTGACAGTAAATAATGGCTTTCCACAGTACATATGTTCAATATGAGACCTGTGTTTTACTGTAATATACAGTTGGACCCATAATTTGTCAAATCAAACATGCTATTTTTGTAGTTTTGCTTCTTTACAACACCACAGTGGATTTTTAAATCAATGTGCCATTGAAAGCTTTCGACTCTAATTCAAGGGTTTCACCCAAATTTTTGCATTGTTGTTTAAGAATAACAATAATTTTATATGTAGTTGCACACTTGGCCAACAGGCAGTGCTCTCTCTTTGTTTTTATGAAAAATGGAGACATATCTGAAGCTGATTTAAATTGTTGAGTTTGTATTTGATCTTTTCACTAGAAGTTTAAATATAAGGGCCAAAGAAATGTCTGTGCATATGAAGGTAGCCATCATTGGGCCATGTCTTTGGACAGATGAAACAAAGAAACTATTCTTATCTTGTGCATATATGGGAGAAGGACAAAAATGGGTTCAGTCAAATGCTGCAAAACCGATCAGTGCTTCACAGTGGAAATGGGATAATGACCTAAAGCATACTGTAGAAGCTACTCAAGAGTTTCTCAGAGCAAAGAAGTGGGATGGCTGTTCTGCAGTGGTGTCCTTAGTGACTTAATCTCAACTGTCTTTGGCCAAATTATGTCCCTAACTCTTGTCTCATTCACAGGTTTATATAACCTGCCATGTAAAGGCTGTTCCAGCCACAATGACTGCCACCTCACAAAACCGGGCCTGCTCTTTAACTGAGAACAGGTACCAAAATCATGTCATTTTTATGTGCAGCAATGGTCAGTTGCCCATTTGTGCTACCGTGTTATCAGAAAATAAGTCATGATGGACAAAATCAAAACGATGTCTCTAAAATCACTAAAATCTAAAAGTACAATATATTTAGTTTGTTATATCAGATTTCACAGATGGGTAATTTTATTTTACACATGTAAAATTTCACATTATCCAGGTGGCGTTCAGTCGACGGGAATGATGAGGCATGTAGGAGCTGTAATATTGCCCACCAGGTTGAAACTCAGTCCACCCAACCTCCTAAAACTACTATGAATGCCAAAGCAGGGCCCACCTTGTCTTCACTGGAAGGTTTAGTCCAGAACAGTCCCAAACATCATCCAGCAACTTATGTCCGTTTCCGTCCAAGATTACACCAGCGCAGGCACACAAAACATGAGCAATCCTCTGCTAAATTAATGAAGGGAGGAACAGACTATGTAGCACGTGAGTACAATCTTAAATCAGTGGGTTTCTGCTATTAAACACCTTTTCATTAAAATTGGATTGCTGTTGAACTTGTATTTCAGAGATTTAATAATTAAACCTTGAGTGGAGCTCAAAGAAACCTGAGTGAGACACTGTGATCTGTAATTTATTTTTATTTTTTCCCTGTTTTTACAGGGAGCCTCCAGCTGGGACCCTTAACTGTGCTGCCATTCAGTCACCTCATCACAAGTTTAGCAGACCCAAAAACAGTAGTTTCAAACAAGACCACCTGAGACTCGGGAGGCTTTACTGGAGAGTGAGGGTTAAAATAAAGATTTCTCTGCTGACTTTACAAACATGTTGTGGATGCTGTACACAAACCTCATGAATGTAGCTCATCCTGTGCACTAGAACACAATCAGGCCCGTTACATTTTTCAAATAAAGTTTTGTCTCAACTTCTCCAGCCATTTAAGTGTGCTGCTTGCCGTCAGTTTCTTTAAATTATGTATTTTGTACCTCAAATAACTCTTTGCTATAGACAACAAACATGAACAAATCCACAACATCCTGTAATTTTCAGTCTGAACTTGATATGGAGCTAGCAAATAATTTAATTAGCATCGGGTTTTTAAGCACTCAAGCTCATTAGCCCCGAGCAACAGAAGTGGATGTCAAAATGATGCATTACTTGTGTACTTGAACACAAACAATGCATCCTTTTGCCAGCTGTAAAGATTCATCTAACATGCCAACCATTATCAATTAAGAAGATATGCAGACATGCTATTAGAGAGCGCTTCCTTCCATTACTACCCTCAGCCTACTCATGTAACCACATTATTGTCACAATGAGGGGTATTTGATGCAATATAAAATCCTGGCTTTTCAGATATATCCAGTAACGCATTAGTCACAGCTCCCTGGAGAGATGGATTACTGAAACTGTTGCATCTTTGTCTTCTAACTTTTTATTCATAAAAGAGCAGCTTTACACTTTATCAGTAAATATGTTTAATAAACATTAGAAAGTGTCACTTCTGTGCTTTTGTGTAGCAGCCTTTTAGGGTTTTAGCAAACACCTTCCAAGAGCAGCACTTCCCTAGTAGCACTTATTTCATCATGTACGGATCATCTTAAATGGACGTCCGCTGAACATTGCGGCCTTTTAAGGGGGTGGCCTGGCTTGACCCCTTGATGTACGCAAAGTGGTATTAATATTGCAAATGGAATTTTTTTTTTTGCGCTCGTGCCAAGTGGAGCATTTATGCTCTTTGGATTTTGTGGTGTCAGCATCTCAGACAGCGCCCCTTGTTGTTGTCCTCGGTGGGCGTGATGAGCTCTGTCCGCGGTGCTGAAACAGTCTGCACGGGCCACTTTGTTTTCAACGTCCCCTCCCATCTCCGTGATTAATTGCCATTCTTCAGCCTTTCTGACACGACTTGTCGATTTCCCGGGCGCCTGTTTACTTGCATATCAGATGAACAAGCCACTATATGTATGCTGTTTACGAGTTGCTGTACCAATAAACCTGCTAAGTGCATAACAAATCAGGAGCGCACTGAAGTAGCACTTAGGAGTTCAGTGCCACTGCTTTATTAGCATATTCATGCGTTGCAGGGGTTACAGATGCAGTCCAGATCTCTGCCTGATCGTTTTCAGTCGGGGAATGCTTACAGTTTATCGTCTGCCGATTGGTACTGTTAATACGTAGACTTAAGATTGTTGATTACCCACCCTGGTCCGTCGTTTTATCCATGCTCTGGGGATGCGGTGAGTGGATAATGCTCTGCGTCAGTGTTTCAGTCCGGGCATTTGCGTCGTCTCGCCTGCATCCTGTTTCAGGGCTTTAGCTGTTGTCTCTCACTGGGTTGTTTTATCCCGTTGAACACATCGGCGATGTTTTCCCTCAGAAACCAACTGCTGGCGTTGTTCACTACTTGCCTTTTTGTTCACACGGTTGTTGATTGCAGCCGGAGATGCGGAGACGTCCTTTGCAGAAATGATCAGATATGCTGCACGCAGGGAAACAACACCTCTGTTGTCACCTGTTGCCCGGAGTTGGTGAACTATACGTACTACAGCATCGCCATGGTCACCCGAAAACTTTCTGGAATACTTATTCTGCTGCTTCTCTTCGCGTTGGGATACTTTGTCCAGAGGGTGCTGTGTTCAAGATCAAGGCAGGACATCCCACCTCAAAATGGACAGCCAGCGGCCACCACATCGCAAGAAATGCTTATGGAGAGCTGTACACCGGACAGCTCGGCGGATCCAGCTGCCGCTGCGCATTTGCCAACATACGATGAATGCAAACATCTGCCGACATATGAGGAGACGGTTCGGGACGGAAAGAGATCGACGACCGGAATCCTGTGACGGACAAGCTACAAGGCGCGAACACGTAGCACTATAGATTCAAGTATTCGATATTCGAGATATTTGTCACTATAGTGCGCATTTTTGGAGAAGAACGCACAAAATATCGCCAGGTGAATTTCCATACAACATGAACTGTATGCCTCTGGAAAATGTTTTCATCCAATTCCTCCATTTCTTCCAAAAAAAGTGTGTCCAAGTGAGTGTTCAGGTTTAGCTTAATTTTCTGCTAAATACTCTCAGCACTGAGGCTCGATTTATTATCATATCGCATCTAATGCTTCATAGATTCGATGTGATATGATATAACAAAGATAAAGAAAACAAAAAACAAGTATCTGCTCTTTAATCAGCCAGACTCTAATACAGCCTATGAATACAGTCAGCATTTACCACATTTAGATTGTTTTTGCAGACTAGCCATTTAGAAAGCGAAAAGCTAATCAGTGGATTATCAGCATCTATCATTTCTTACATAAGTGAAGTGAAACACTAGCCAAAGGAGACTGTTTACAGCCGAGAGTCAGCGCAACGCAACTAAATCATCCAAACCTATTTGCACTTGTCTTTGTTGCGCTTTTCCCCTGGGTTGACGATGCTGTCAGTGAGATACACGACTGTGAGATAACAGAATTGCGTTTAATAATTAAAAGGAGATACGGATATGCAGTTTCTAAACGCACACCTAATAAACAGCTTACCTGTTTATATGATTAGTGCATGTCTCCGTGGGCGTAAGAATCATAGAAATGTAACCAAAACATGGCATTTCTTTAAATACGATTTATTGTTGATATAAAGGAATTAAAGCAGAAGGTAGTGTCAGAGCTCATTCGTCATATTGTCAAATAACACATTGCTTATAAATAAATGTTAATGTTTGGTGTTTGTTCTGAGGTAGTGCACTGTATCCTTGATATTGTCTTTCACTGCACCGGGCTCTGACGGAAGTTTGACCACTTGGACCACTCGTTTAAAGGCCTCCTCAACTCCAAATCCCGTCGACGCAGAGCATGGCTGAACGAAACAATCCCGCTCCTGGCAGATCTTTCTCATATTGAATCTGTCCTTCATTTCAGTGACATTCAGCGCGCCGCCGACGTCCTGTTTGTTGGCGAGAAGAATCAGCGGACGGCCCCGGAGCTCATCATTTCTCAGAGTTCTTTCCAGCTCCCTTTGCGCCTCGTTCAGGCGCTCCTGGTCGGCACTGTCCACAACGAACACGATAGCTCCAGCGTTCTGGTAGAAATTCGGCCAGTGGTCGCGCATGTTCCCTTGACCGCCGACATCCCAGATGGTTATAGCTATTTTTCTCCTGTTCTTTCTGGCCTCGAGCATTTCCACGTTGAAGCCGATGGTAGGGACGGTGCTGACACTAGTGTTGTGCTTCAGTTTGTAGAGGAGAGTCGATTTTCCAGCGTTGTCCAGACCCAGAAGAAGAACTTGCACTTGAGGTTTGGAAACCCATAATCCCATGGTGAAGTGCAGATACAAAGGCCGTTAACTGACGCGGGACAGTCACATCCTCCGCACTGTGCCCGTCTGACGCGGTGTTTGCTTAGTGCGTTTACCGAGGTTTAATGGATAAGCCATTAGTTCCCTGCTAAGGCACTGTGTTCCGATAAGGCGTCACACCAGAGGGCAAAGTTTCCCGTTCCCCAGTTACACTTTTATTGGTCATGTATTCCATCACTTTATGTTTGTTATCCGAAGATATCAGGCTGACTAATGTGCATTCGTAAAAGTGTCAAAAGCGCACTGAGAACAAAACCGGGTACTCAAACACTTAAATATTAAAAACTAAATAATAGCCAATTGCACCAAACCAGTTAAAGTTAAAAAGGACCGTAGTGGAAGGTGCCTTAGTGACTGGGATGCCTCAAACTGTTACAACATTTCGAAATTTGAATGACATGTCCAATCACGGAATTAAATAAGTGATACGTAAATTAATAAATAAATAAATAAAACGTCGAAGCTCTTCCTGTTTGCATACACACAGTTCTTGTATTCGAACAAATTTCTACACGGGCTTGTCAGCCATGTTAAATATGAGATGGATGTTTCAACGCTGACATGCACATTAAAAAAATCAACTCAGATTCCAGTGCTTCTAGAAAACCAGAAGCAGCCAAACATCATAAACTTGAGGTCACGTCACGCACAACTTGCTTTTACCCCTTGTGGACATTCCGTCCTAAATCAAGGTCACTCCATCACATCCAAAATGCCATCGTTATTTTAAAATATTGTATTTTAATACTCGTGTATGTTGTATAGCACATACACGCGTAATTATAAACAGAAATAAAAGTCAAATAATTTTTAAAAAAGGAAAGTGGACAAAATCAATAATGGTTGGTCAGCCATTGGTAGGGTGCAGGTTTCACCATGACACCATCGACCAAAGCATTACAGCCAGGCCCCTTCCCTTTGTTTACTCTGCTTCACATCATTCAGAATAATAGAGCACCCAAAGACATAGACTCGGTGGCTAATCACCTCCCCTCACCATCCCCCTCTCAGTCTAACACTGAACATGTAAACAGAATAAAGAAACATCCGTTCATCTCAATGATCCGTCCAGCCAAATCCTCGGTAAGGAGAAGGTCGATTGAATCCACCTCACTGCATTGCGGGCGGGCACAGTGGAGGCTCACCTCACAGCAGGAAGATAAATCAACAACATCTGCTACTCTGTAAGATGCTCAACTGATTCCACTGACTAAATCATTTGTATTTTAGTTTTTTGTATCAAGATCTGGACCATTTCTCCTCCGGCTTCACCCACACCCCGCCGGTTGGGTTATCCATCACGTACACCAGTCCTCCGGTGTCACGGCTACGCAGGGGCCAAGAGTCGAGTTCTGATTTCTGCCTTGTCCGGGGGGAAGAGTGAAGACAGGCCGACTGATTGGTCACCCTCTCCTGAAAGCGGACAACTGAGCCTGGGGTAGAGCATGTGTCCGCTTTCTGGCACATGTCTGCTGCGCCATCGCTCTGAAAAATCGCACGGGCTTCAATGGAAGATTTGGAGCCATGCTGTCCCATGTTGTTTGGAACTTCGAGAAGATTCCTAAAAACGATCTAAGGGGTTTTTTTAAGCCAGAAGTGGTGTATTTCTGCTTGTTAGTGAATCTCACGTGTCTTCCACGCGCACTAATCTCTCGTATAGCATGCCAAATTTAAAAAAAAAAAACAGCGGCAAAGCGTTCCCGTGAAGCCGATGAGTGACGCTGTTGATTTTTATAGTTATTAGACCACACTGGTCTTAGGAATTTGGATGAAGTCGTGTGGAGGCTATTCTGAGTTTGGCCACCTGGTGCAGAGTGTCACTGAACTTGACATCGCTGAGCTTCAAGGCTGAAGACTGCGGTGTCGAGTTACCTTGCAGACGGCAGCTCTGAGAGTGAGAGAGCTATTTGTGGTCTGGGAGAAGCATCCCAGAAACGCTCGGGTCACGTGTTTTCCCTCAATCTTAGTGTGACCTCACCCTCCTAGCCTTTGTGACTGTTGTTAGCTAGATTCTTTAAAAGAAATGTCTTGAGGTAAACATATGAGAAGCTGTTTGCATCTCCCCAAAATCTATATTTGCAACGGAAGGCACTTAAGACTGGAGTGCTCCAGTGGAGCTCTCCAACAGACCTGGCAGCAGGTGATGTGCATTGCATTTAATATATGATAAAATGTGGAAAGAATAAACACATCCAAATTGATCATACCTGTCATGAGATGATGGAGATGAAAACGGTTGATATATTTCAGAGGAAAGAGTTTAATGCTTACAACTTTCTCACGTTAAAATCACGGGTATTTGTTTTATTGTAAACTTCTGCTCATGTACAGAAGGACAAAACTGAAAATACATCATACTGGTTTGGCAATCTGCCTGAGACATCCAAAAAACATAACAATAAATAAGGCATTGGGTAAACTGTTAAAATAAAAGAAAGAAAACAAAAGGAACAAAACTCCCCTCTCTCGACTGATGAAGTCATGATACACAGTGGTAAAAGGTGAATTTAAAACAGCAGTAAATCAAGCACGGTTTACGGTAACTTTCCTTGACAGACTGCGTCATTGACACCAGTTGTATTGCTTCGGGAGCATATCGTATTTCTAATCACAAGCATTCTGGCTGCAGCTGTACAGTTCGTGATGCGACATCGTTTAGTCTTTCAGTCTTTCGTGGTCGAGGTGTGTCCGTTGCACCTCCTCGCTTCGTGTGCTTCGCAGGTCGAAGACAGCCACCAGTGTCCGTTGCTGCACGCCGTTAGGTCATTCGTTCGTGAACATGGTTAAGCTGAAGCACATGCCCTGATACAGACAGTGTAAGTCCACTTGAATGGAACAGTTTGCGTTTCCTCCGTAGCCTCGCAAACAGGTGAGTGTCGGGCTCGACGTAGAGTGAAACCCGCTTGCGTTGCTGAGGGTAAACAGTGTTTACGTTTGCTGATATGTAAGAATTTACCATTCCAAAAAATAAACATCTGAAAAGTGCATTTTTTTTTTAGAACCACATGTATTTCTGTGGAAGTTACATGTATAAGCCACAACATTTAAACCACTGACAAGTGGAGCAAGTAACCTTGATGACATCTCACCCACTTAAACACTGCTGCAGACCAAGAATGGCCTCTCCCAGCAAGGCAACGCACTTTCAACCACTATATAAAACTGCCTACGAATAACTCCAGGGACCCCAAAATCGAGAGCCAACTGGGCATCAGATTAGAGCCACCACCGTGAAACCCACATGAGCCAAAGCATCCAGTGCCAACATCCCTGTCCCACACACCAACCTCTCAGAATTCCAGTGAATACACTCTGATGGATCAGAGGTGTTTGGCAAGGAGGATCCACACAATATTCGATAGGTGGTTATAAGATTGTGGCTCATGTGGTGTATGTGTGTGTTGTAGTTAAAGTCACATTCCACACACAAATTTCACTTTTGAGTATCACACACCTTCTACAGACTTGATAAATTTCTTTCAAAATGTTACGTTTCAGCCTTTATAGTCACTCGGTTAGGGTAATGTTGATTAAGGATTCTTCAGAGGTGAAGAAAATAACACCAGGTTTCCCAGGTGTGGATTGAAACAAGCCCCAGACTAAAAGAAAAATTAAATGAAGATCAACAGTGATTAAAGTTTATGGTTTAGGATCAGGCTTAATCCATGTCTGGGAACGAGATGTAAATGTTCAAATAGCTGAAGAAACATCTGAGTCCACGCTATTGGAGATCTTGAAGGATAAGAACCAGAACAGATTTTTTGTTGTTGTCAATTTTAATGCAATGAAACAACTGACCCTCAACATTAAAACACATTTTGAAAAAAATATGGACATTCAGATCATCTTTATGCCTATTCTAAGTTGATTAAATTGATGTGCAATATTTAAAAAAGGCTTATTTAGCATTTATTTGGTCAATGAATTATCAGATACTCCAAAATTGACTTCAGGCATCACTTTAAAAAAAGATATTTCATTTAAAGATGTTTAAAATGTGTGTCACCTAAAACGAAAATTTTCAGCTCAATAAGCCACGAGCCCTTGTCACTGCTTACCTTCTACCCCCTTCTCTTTATGTGACTGCTTAGTTTTAAAATCTGCTGTACTGAGCATGAATTTTAAATAAATGCAAAAACAATAAATCTCCCAAAGCTTTTACCGTCACTCCTCAAGCCACAAAATAGGTGCTTAATACTCAAAAGTCATATGTGTGTATTGTCATCAGAAATTAAGTAGAGGTATGGATCCACTGGAGTCTTCTTACATTTGAGAAATTATTATTCCTGTTGGAAAGTCTAACAAATGCATACAATCAGAGAATCATCAAAATGCAGCAAGCCGGGTGGTGTTTTTGCAGATGGACAGTAATTGTTGTGCAGGCACTGGTTGAAGCCTTCTCTGAAGAAGCCTCCAGTGGACCTGTACCATTCGTGTGCGTGTGCATGTACAGTAAACAGCAGTGATGTCATCACAGTCTAATGTGTGCTGGTTAAAAGACCCCACCCCCCTCCCCTGTGTCTGGTAGTCTTGGTACTGTACTTCAATATTTTAATCAATTCCTCATCCGTTTAGCAGATGGCTGTGAACTGTATTGAATTTAAATGCCCCTTTTCTCCATCAGGTCAAATTAAATTGAGCTTCATTTTCTCATATCATTGCATGTGTGTGTGTACATTTCTCTGTATGTGTGTGCATTAGTTAAAAGCCCAGTCGAAATCTATACTTCTCCCAGTCCTTCCGTGATGATGTACTTACTGATACATCCAGAAGATGGGAGGAAAAATATACTGATCATGACGCAAGCTTTAAACTCGACCCTCACCTACTCCCCTGCCTTGCTGTTCCCCCCTGCTCCACTTTTAAACTTCACTACCATGACGGTGATGTTATCAGGGCAGCCACGATAGAAAGACTGTAGGACGATGCTCTTGGCACCAAAGTGAGGCTCGTCCAGGCGCTCGCGGACAAAGCGCACTGCCTCCTCGTTACTGAAGGCATCCCACAGGCCATCAGAGGCCAGGATCATGAACTCTGGCTGCAGTTTGTCCAGGTCAAAGGTCATTATGTCGGGGTCGGGAATGACTACGTTAAGGTTCTTTAGTGGGTAATCCCCGAGGGAGCGGGACATAGCGAGGATTCCCTGGACTCTCCACGATCCATTAAAACTGATGAAGCCTCCTAAAAGTAAAAAGAGTAAAAATTCTAATTTAAAGTTTAAGAAATAAGTTTAATCACAACCTATTTCTAACACTGCATTAAATTTAACTCAGTGATTTCCCAGAACAGACCAACAGATGGCGACAAAGGACCCCATAGCAACAGCAGGTACACAATGCCTAAGCTTTACATTACACTCTTATACTCATTATTTACCTGCCCTCTTGATTCTCTTGCGCTCTTTAAGCTGATACGGCTTGTGGTCATGTGATAGGGCGACAGCATTCCCATCTTTGTCACACAACACACCACGCGAGTCTCCAACGTTGGCCACTGTGAGCTCTCTATCTGACAGCAGCGCCATCAGACATGTCGTTCCTGTGTGGGAAATTCAAAGAGAAGACAAAAACAAAAATCCAAACACTAATCATTAGTGATTTTTGTACTGTAACCAGCTACAAGTTAAAAAAAAAAACCTTAGAATTGTTACAGGCACATCTTTGTGATCTTATATTATCCTTTAACTTTTTTATTTTAATCACACCACAAAATATAACAAATCATTTTTATGCCAGATTAACAGTAATACTTAAAACTAGATTTTGTTTTGTTTATGCTGGCTTTTGAGAACGTAACTCATGACTTCAGATAGCTCCAAATATTTGATTAGGCAAATTTTTTTATTCCAGCTGCCCCTACTGATGCAAAACTCAAGGGATTTGTTTTGCTGCTTCGCAAACCTGTGCACCACTACACTACAGCAATGCACACAGTCGATATGTTTCAAGTATGGGGTGTTTTTTGTTGTTGTTGTTTTTAAGATTTATTTTTTGTATTTTCCCTATATTGTACAATGTAGAGGGTGGACAGAAAAGCAGGAAGAGGATGGGGGGATGACTTGCAGCAAACGCCACTCATCCCAGTGAGCTATAGCAGCACCTTTCCTGTAATGAATTAATTTTCACACTACCACAGAGGGCTTTCAGAGGATAAAACTTAAATTACACCTTAAAGAATATGCTCGATGACATGTATGAATGTGAGCTTTAAAATAAATAAATAAAACATAAATAAAACAGAGTTTTCCATAATAAAGTTGCTAACCTGTGAGTCAATACTAGATCAAGCTCAATTATTAAAATTAATTTTATAGAGACACCATTGTGCCAGTGGCCAGTCATTAACTGTATCTTCACTATCCTGAGGAGATGATGTGGCAGACTGTCACCAAAAAAAACAAAACATCAATGATGAAAAATAATAGTAGGTCAAAAATATGAGGAAACTGTTTCAAATGCCACCAACCGATCAATCTGAACTGTTTCTCTGAAACATCAGCGTAAATCTGGATCAGCATAGTGTTACACAGCCATCTCACTCTTCTAATTCAGCCAGCGTTTCGAGTGGGCTGTAGAAGGACTCGGTCAGAGACGTAAATGTCAGGTGGGAGTACGGAGATGAGAGGGTATAAGACAGGAAATTGTGAGGATTTTCTTTCATAGGTGAGGTTCTGCAATGCAACCG